GAAAGAGTGGTGGTGGAAGACCCTTTGTCCAGGGGTGGACACACACACACACACACCTAGCACTTCCTGTCTGGGTGCCCTGTCTGGAGGCCTATAAGTAGGGTAGGGTAGTCTAGCCAGGACACCCATTAGATGGTCCAGGCACACATCGTCCGCAGCGAAGTTCGAGGTTGCTCCCGACACGCTGCCTACGACCTCACTGGAGGCGATGCTGAAGCTTCCCCCAAGCGAACGCCGCTGGATGGACTGGCGGTCGAAAGGGCCAGGTGGTCGGGGACCGCGGACGTCAGCCGGGTTCCATTGGGGTTGTGAATGGGGAAATAACTGCTGCCGCTTTGAGTGCACGGCTTATGTAACACAAATGAATGCATTGGAGTCTTGGAGATCTCAATTTATGTGACTTGTGGAAAGGTCATGTACTTGAGGGTATGCCATTCTCTATTGTTGGCCCTTCAGTTGCTGATCTTAATTAAGATGTTACGCTATGACAAACACAGGGAGGTCCCACTAGTTTGAACCGGTCTTGCTAATCCCTATTCCAAATTTACCACATCCAACAATCAACAAGCAGTGGTGGTAAATCCTGGCCTCTGTCCAGTTGATTACACTTTTAAGTGTTTTCAGCCTGAGTGAGGCCAAGGAAGGAAAACGGTCCGGTGGGATGTTTTCAGATGCTTTCGGCCATGTGGAGGGGCAAAACAACAAGACTAAGACCATGCACTACAACAGAGTGCCATTTGTTTTGTCCCCAGGTCACCTGACTCTGCGTTGTCCTCAACACTCCTCAACTCCGGCACCCCAAACCATTCCAAATCCTTCGGAGCCTTTCCTCCCCACCGCACATGCCACCGAGACGGCTGCTGAGCTTCACCCCGGAAACCCCGGTGTCTCCGCACGTGGCGGTCGGTCGGCCTCGTTCTTGCAGCGCCTTAAGGCGAGCTCCAAGTCCTCCAGACCTGGGAGAAGATTGTTCCATCGGACGAGAGGAAGAGACGGTCGAGATGTCGAAGCAAAGGGAGCCAGAGCCGAGAGCCGCCGTGTGAAAAAAGGAAAATCACAGGGGTCAGGAGATGTCGGTGATGTCAGGTGTTAAAGGAAACGGAAAGCTGAGGCTGCACTTCTCTTCCAAAGATCTCGTCTCTGTGAATTGGGAACACTCAATTGAGCTTCCAAAATAGGATGGCATCCAATGGCATCCACTTGGACCAATGGGGCGTTTTGAGATTCATATGACTCACGTGACCTACATCTATCAGCCTATAGCCCTATAGTGGGGCTTGGTCGCTCCACTGCTGAATGGTCAAATCGCCTCCGGAATTTCTCCATGGCCCCGACTTCGGGTGACCAAGGATGACCATGAAACCCGGAGACCCAAAAGGAGGTGGTTAAATCATTGGTGCTCGGATGTATGCAAAGGTCTCAATTGCATTGGTTTTCATGGGTGTTTTCATGGGTATTTTTTCGTTTTTCTCCACACCCCGCCCAGACTCGACCGGCTCAATTCCCGAGGGTTATTGCATTGGAGCAGGAGCTTCTGGGCTGGCTGTGGCCTTCACTCTTGGGGGGGGACTCCCCTTGATAGAAGAAAACAAACTTAACAAAAGAGATTATATAATACTAGCTAAGATCAATATTATAGATATAACTTATAACCCCTAGGGCTCCAAGTAACTCCTCAAAGGTGTTTGGACCCTTTAAACCCACCCCAAACACCTTCTGAGGAGGTACTTGGAGCCCTAGGGTACTGTTCTAAGAAGGTGAAGCCATGATCTGGCGATCAAACTGGTGCCCATCTCCTAACCGGCCACCAAGGGACGGCGAATGCGCACGGCCACGTCCGTCAGGGATTCAAGCTTGTCCATGATGAGCGTCAGAGCACCGAGGATGATGTTGAAAGCCATGCTGGCCTGTTTAAAGAAAACACAAAAGGTCTGAAATGCCTTCAGAGTACCGCACCTTCAATGGCTTAAGCCATCCAACACGGTATTCTTGAGTCTCTTCAAAGCTCCACGTGTGGCTGAAAGTGGCCATCAAAAATGATCAATCACCCCTCCCTGCTCAGTCCCCCGCACCTGCGAGATCACACCGAACTGCACCTCCCCCCCTCAAGTAGGCTGGTCCCACCAGCAGCGCCGGAATGGCAAAGGTGGCCTGAAATCAATCTGAGGAGGGGGGTCGAACTCATGGCGTCATGGCTAGGTTGACGAGGTGGAGTTGGATTTTTCGGAGGGGCGAGCTGGCGAGATGGAAGCGGAAGAAGTGGAGGAACACACTGGATGAGCTTTAAGGATGTCTTCCATCACTTGTCGGTCCTCCCAAAAAGAGTCCAGCGACGTCAGCGCTGGGTTTCGCGCGTCAGCGCGAGCGCCCCTGAAACGGGAAAAAAAAACACGTGAAATGAACATCCTAAGGGTCGAGTCTCCTGAAAAAACGTCCCTCCAGGACTCAGGAAGTATATGACACCTCACTCATCTCCAAGACGATCCTCACCAGGTACCAGGACAACACAGGAGGACACACATCGATCGACCGTTCCACCCTGTTCCGTCCGTTCCGTCACCACCCGTTCCGGTCACGAGCGCGCGCTAGCTAGGATCCGAGCGGCCCAGTGGAAGGACCGATTGAACATCCCGAAGCCCGAGGCGACCACGACGCTTCGGTACACCGTGGTCCTCAAACGACGCGAGGACGACGCGAGGACCCTGGGCCCGGCTGGGCTGGGCTGGGGTGCCGGGCGTGAAACGGTAGGGTTAGAACCGGGATCCACCTGGAGGCTGCTCCAGGCATCTTCATCATGGGGCGCTATATAAAATTTAAAAAATATGACTCATATGACCCCATAGCCTTCCAATGATTGACCTGGTTTTGTATTGAAAAACCCTTAATAAAACCATGGTGGTTCGGGATTGGAAGCCATGAAATTCCGTGGTGGGCCAGGAAACCAAGCTATAGGGATTTTCAGCTTCCTGGACCTACATCTCCAATGTGCAACGGACCTTAGGCGACGTGCTCTTATAGTTAGAATGGCAAATTTTGCCTGGGCACAGGTCATTGTTCACAGGACCCAGCTGCTCCGCAGGTGGTTGCTCTCTACCAATCTCCCTCCATTGGTTTCGAGGTTTCACCCCCCCCAAGTAGAATTCACAAAGGCCAAGCAGCACCTCCAAGCCCCACAAACCATTAAAAAACATGGGTTTCCCTAGCAAAAAAAACAACATTGCGTTTGTAATGTGAAAACCCAAAAATGTGTCATGGATTTGAGGGCTACTGGTAGCTACTGACTGGCTACAGTCAAGTGGCAGCAAGTCGTTGAAGAGCGTGCTAAACTTGGACCACTCAGCAGTACCGCCCTCGAAGAAGGCCACCGACTCCGCATTCTCGCGAACGCGAATCAGGTCATAGCCTGAGGCGTGAAGTGAAGGCCCACCAGCCCAAACCCCTAACCATGGCAACAGCCCAAAAGCCATGAACGTGTGATGAAGTGATTGAACACACCAAACCTATATAAATAGTATCTGTGAATATCTGTGATATGGGGCACATCTATGAGCTGTATCAACACTTCCCACGCCCTATCCACTCGATACTTCTGGTCTACTCAAGCCCGACCGGCCCCACAACCGAGGCCCGACTGGCAAGGTCAAGCGGCGCAGGTTGGCTTCCTGCTTGACTCGCTGCAGCTGATAGAAGCCGATCCAAGGTCCAAAACCTGGAGGAGTTCATTTCCACCGATTTCAAGGGCTCCCAGCATCTTCTTTCATACAGGAATGATTCACAAGGTAAGGAATCATTCTTTTAGTACTTACATTACATTCCTTCAGTATAGTATAGTGAATGATTCTTTCAAGGTTCTTTACATCATTCACTGTACTGAAGGTTGGGGCATGAGAGACGGATGGGAGACGGTGGGAGGGCATAGAATATATGTGACCTGAATTCCTGCTGACCCATCTTTAGGTGGGGAGTTGAATACTCCACATTTGGCAATTGCATGCGAAAACAAGAAAAGCGGCCGCCGTGCAATCGCCTTGTTAGTCAAGCAGCTTGATATGCTTCATGTGTGGAAGATCATTCATGGTGGGTTCTGACAGTATTCACTGTGACAGTGACACAAAGTATGGTCTGTTGATCGGAGCATGTGGGGCGGTCCAGGGCAAAGGGCGGAGAGGCATGGACCGCTACTTCCCTGCAAGCAAAACGCCATGAGCATGGGATGAGCCAAAGCGCGGACCCTTAAGATGTGGTGATGCCGATGCTGAGCTGTGATGCTCCTGCTCCTGCTGTGGTTGGCAAGTGCTTTCTACCCTTTGACGAAACTACCATGGAAGTGCTTTCGACGTGCTTTCGACCTCTTTCAACCACCTGTTTCTAGAGCAGAAGAGTCTTTCATCTAATGCACCATGCCATCCACTTGCATGTGATGTGTTTGAATTTCGCACCCCTGCGCCACGCCGCTGACGGCGCCGGCGCCGCATCCGACCGCCGGGCCTCTGGTGGCGATCAACGTGCCGGTGACGGAGTAGATCAACACGCCAAAGCCTGGGATCCAAGGTGCTGGTGGACCTGCGGTTGAATAGGAAAAGCCTCTTCAGAAGCCTTGAACCTTCGGGCACGAAACTAGGCACGAAAATAGTGATGTTTCTCAGCGCATTGAGCCACGAAACTAGGGTTCTCAGCGGCTTCATAAAGCCAAATATGGTCAAAGTTGAGCATGCTGCTGGTGTAACCGTTCGCTTACTCCACACCAGTAAGAGATATGTCTTTGAAGAACGAACATGGAAAATGGACACTCCGTCCGACTAACACGGAAGGTGGATCGTTTTGCGCTTCCATGTGAGTCAATGGTCAATGGGTAGTTGCTTGTAGTGAAGAGTCAAGCATCAAATAGTATAGTTTTGGAGTGGCTTTTTGTTAGCAAAAACATGCAGCACAAACAATTCCACCAATATATTGTTACTGTATATCAATTATGCTACCAATGAGAATGCAACCAAACCTGTTTTGCTTCACCAAACCTGTGATCCTCAGCCGAAGTGCAATGCGCCCGTGATGACCCCCAGCCCCTGCCGTCCAAGGCACAGGCGGCTGGGGAGATCGAATACAAGACCGTGGCGAAGCCGAAGATGTTCAAGAAGGTCCTCTGGTCGACCACACGGAGATGACCCGATCGTCTGACCGGATGCGGAGGCGGTTTTCGTACACCGCCCGGGGTCGGTGATCTCCTACAAGATACAGTGCATTGAGAGTAGATGGCGCAATCCCAAAAAGGTGTTTTATATGGACCCCCATATAAAACACCCCACGGAAGTTCGAGTTGATTTCTTTGGTCCCATCCGGTACTTACCAGGACCCCGTTTTCTAGATGGATGCTTCCTCAAGTGAGAATGCATTTGTAAGGTCGGTCTAGAGTGAACAACTTGGAGAACAAGAACCTCTGCAAAAAAAACATGACATTTTTCTCCCGGGATGATATCCCCAAAGCTGGCTGTCAAAACCGCTAAAACCCTCAGAAAAACCTCACGCCAAACATGTCAATCTCCCTACTAGGCCTATAATACATCTTAGATCCTATGCTACCTATGCTACCTATGGCTCTTCTACAACCGAGTCGCACTGCTGGTCCCAAACCTCCCGACTCCGGATTCCGCCGATCGATTCTCGTCGGTCCTCACAACATCTTGCACCAAATGGACGGCGATGCCCACGAAATCGGACACGTCCTGACCCGGGACGGAGCTCAGTCCGTCAAGCGATGTGAGGGGGGTCCTGTCCTGTCGATCGTTTTCTGGGCAGCCGGATGTGAGGCGTGTGTTTTTGTGTTTCCTGGGGTGGGGGGGAACAACTGGGCACGAAAACGGCGAAGTGACAAAAGAATGCCCGCGCGACATGTAGCACGAGTTCAAGCTTTTGGGCTGTCCATGCAGAAATTAGAATTTGGCTCCCCATGTACATTCCTTTCAAACACATGGCAATGTCGGAATCTTGATCATGTGAAAATACCAAATCAATCCAGTCCTGCCAATAGTTATAGTATCCCTAGGGCTCCAGTCATACCTTCTGAGAAGGTGGGACTGCGGTGGGTTCGGAGGCCCCAGTCATACCTTCGGAGGTACGACTGGAGCCGGGCCCTAGGGCCCTAGGGCATGTAAGAACGAGGACGGGGGGTGTTCAAATTCACAAATCAAAGGCCATTGAGAAACAGCCTGACAAGTGCTGACAGGACCAACCTTTTCAGGTCTTCCAGCGCGTGATCGCAGGGACTGGCCGACTGTGGAGCCATCGTCATTCATGGATGCATGACTTGGAGCTGTCCAGCCTTGAAAGAGTGTTATTCGTCAGAAAGGGAATTTAACCATAGGGATGTTTTAAAGATCACCTTCCGCAAAACCAGGACTAAGATTCGCAAAACCACAATGTCTCAAAGCGTCTTCGTTGGCAGGGTTTAGGGTTTAGGGTTCCTTTGCCCGTAGTGAGACATCCGTTGAGGTTGTATTTGGGTAAAGTCTTTTTGTACAAAAACAACTTTCATCGAGGAAGGAGCTGTGTGGGAGATATCTTCGCAGTGTAATCAGCAATTGCTGGAGTCAAACAAGAACACAAACATAAGAATGATTCGCAAGTCACCTATGGCAATCTGCGTGGCATTCATGTTATCTTCCTGTATGTTCCTCATCTATATATGGACCACCCTATGGCCATATTATCCTCACAAAACCATCCATGGTCATCTCATTCGCACCTTTTTGTTTTTGTCCAGGGCATATTTTGGCTCCACATCATATAACCTGTTCCTCATCGACACTCCGAGGTCATCCAAATAAGTGTTGCCCCGCCCATCTTCACCCCTGCACCGCCGTTTTCGCCTGGCAAATTCGCTGGTCAGGGTTATCAATCTCTCCGGTGATCGTTAACCTGCACATCAGAGATGCACATCCAACCACGACCTGTCGACTTTCATATCCTGTTTGGGCTCCAGCCGTACCTTCGTTTCGGTGGGGGGGCCCGGGTGCCCGGGTGCCATGTTCGGGTCCAGTCATCGCGAACCTGAGGAGGTACCACTGGAGCCCTAGCGGTATGACTCGCCGCTTTGACCGCTCAGTCCCTTGGACTGTCTAAACGTGAAAGCAATGGTCTAACCGGTCTAACCCAAGGACTCCAAACTGAAAGATTGGCCACCCCCATTGGCTCCCGACAACCAAGCCCAATGTAGGTACATGTGCAATCTGCAATCCATGGGGTGTTTGGTTAATGATTTAACCAATTACAGTAGCGGGTGCATTCTTTGTGAACTGCCACGCTCAAGAGTCAAAGGCGGCAAACCTGTCAGGATTGTCAGGAAACTTTGAGCATGCGAGAGCTGTGTGTGAAAACCAAATACTAACCAAACTTCCAAAACTAACAACCTTGAGCATGCAAAACCGATGGATCTAGCCCAACGTCCCCGATTTCAGTCACCACATCGGACTTTCAAAAAGGACCCAATATAACATGCGATCGGGGAATACTGTTCAATGCCCAACGAAGCCACAGACTGAAGAGATTCAACTGCATCTTATTGGTCACCAAGGCATCGATTCGAGCCACTGCCCTGATGCCAGGAAAGAACACTTAAACTCATTTCAACAGAAGAAAACAGCAATGGCAAGCAATGGTATGTGGCTCCCAACCATTTGTAGCCACATTCGTTTATATAGCCCCTCTCTAATTCAAAAAGCACTGTCCCAAATCCCGTGTTTTGCATGGGTCTTCGATGGGGGGTGGATGCCTTAGTTGGGGCGAAGGTCAGCCCCCCCCCTTTCAAGAAATTCAATTTCCATGATTTCGCCGCCCCCTTTACCTATATTTCAATAGAATTTCATCATACTCAAACACTCCTCTGACCTGGACGACCACGTCACTTCCGGGTGGTTTCGTCAACCACTCTCCGTGCCAGGGCACCTGTAGAAGGGCGCGCCTTCGGCGTAACCGGGCGCCGCCAAGTAGATGCCACAGAAGCGTCGGGTTAAGGATTCTCTAAAGGTCACCTTCAGCAAGCCTGAAGATGATGGCGAGGTGTCTCTATCATTTTCTTCCAGTTCGTTTTGGTTCCAGTTCCAGCCATGTGACAGGAATTGGACTTGGGACTTGGGACGCATCATTGACATTTTTGTCTAGCAGTGATTGTCCCAGTTCGAGCATCTGTGATAGTACTTAGTCTGACTCCTCCGTTTCCCTGGATACACTTTTCCTGGGTAGGTAGTGATGCTTAGCGCATAGCCTTGAAGACCGCTCCGTTGAAATATAGACTTCCCTGATGAAGTCTTGTCCCATCTCGTCCCCAGTTCCGGGCTGATTTCTTAACTCCCTCTGTTTTTGCTGGAGAATAGCAGGAGAATACCTGGGTAGGTTGAACATGCAGGACGTGTTCTTCTCACTAGTTACAGTTACTGACATCTCTTCACATCTGATGTTGTAGGAAAACAGGGACGTGTCTCTTCAGTTGCTGAATGCGGAACATCGATGGCGAAGGAACTGGGTCGGTGGCAAGAGGGTGGCACTGACCGAAACAACCCCAAGACGAACCAACGCGCTTGGGATTCTGAACACATGCGATCACAACAACTCTGTGTTCACTCGAACTCCTCCGGTCACCTATTTTTCTGGTCATCACCGGGACGTCCAACTCTGCGATTCTGGATGCAAACGGATATATACTGCAGTCACTGGGAGCCAGGCCTGAGGTATACTCATGCAAGGCGATGATGGGGCTGATGAACACGATCCTGAGCCGTCCGCAGTCTTTCTTTTGATTTTTGCGTATTTTTTTTTCTCCTAAGCGGTGCTTGAGCGGTGGCACTGCAGCTTCGAAACTGCCGATGACTCTATAGTTCCTTGCCTGGGCACTGGAACACCCCCAGACTCCTAGACATAGATCAACCAAAAAGTTTTCTGCACCAGCTGTATTTTCCAAGGCCGGTTTTCTGTATAAAATGATATCACATGCATGTGTTTGACACCCGGTGCCCAGCATGTTCTAAAGGAAATTCGCAAGGGGATACTTTACACACGGCTTTGACACTGCACATACTTCCCCATGAGACTTGGATGGGCTTGGAATTTGCTTTCCACTTCTGCTTCCCTTATCTTCCGGCGACGATGCGAAAGTACTGAAATGCACTACTCTCCCTGGAAATAGCATGGACGTTGAAAAAAGAACGGTGTCATACCAAGGGGGTAAGTAGAGCGACAACACGTGGCGCAGTGCGCCTTGGGGCCATGGCATCCACTTCCACGTTGGTTCCAGGGAGTGTAACACAAATGTGAACCCTTGTAAAGCCTCTACGACGTCACCGTGTGTTTCCTTTTTCGCCTTTCTCACCCACATTCACCAAACTAACCAGCCACAATGGACAGGAAAGGTACGCAGGAGATCAGACTAACTCACCAAGACTTGCCTTCACCAGCCACGGCACACCGCAGCCACCATCCAAAGACCATGATAGAAAGCTTCGACGTTCTTCTCCTGCAGTGCCTCTCACAGATTGCTCGGTCAAAACTACCGACGCCGGGCACAACGGGGCAAAAATTAAGTAGACCATATGCTGCCATGGTATGTCCTATATAGTCTTGCAATGCCTTGCACTACCGAACGATGGTAAGCTCAAGGCCAAGGTAAGCACCCTACCTTTAATTTGATCTTATAGTCCGAAGCATGAACTGGTTTCATTTATATTGACTGCGGCTCAGATGCAACACCTCTCAGAAAGTCTATGCCATAAACAGAACATGCTCGATGGCGCTTCTGCGACGTGAAGGAGGGGCCCCAGGAGGATGTGATGCCATGTTGCTTGAGGTTGAATTTGATTGCGGGAATTTAGGTTCGTTGGGATCCAGCCGATCCCCAGTCCCATCCTTCGCCACTTTAGCCCGATAGGAATAATAGAACCAGCCCAGTGATTACACAAGCACTACAGCTCGGGTGTACAACATCCAGTTTGGAGACTACACATGGCTACACACGGTAGTTTTCAGGTGCATTAGGCGATACACATGCAAGTGGCCAAGAAGCAGGCGCCTAAGGCATGTCATACGTCATCGGACGACCAGCACCCCCCGTCAGGCCGTCATGTAGTTCTTCTGCACGCCGCTATAGTAGAGCACCGCGCCGATCTCCAGCAACAGCAAAGCAAACCTTGGAGCATGAAGCCGCTACCCAGTTGTGAGTGACACCCGGCTACCCGGCGGGTACACCCCACTGTGCCAACGAACAGAATAGACTTGCATGCATATATGGTCCACCTACATCCACCTACCAGGATTTGAAGGCGACCCGCGTGTCATGACCCAGTGCTACGGCCAGAGTCCAGGTTGATCATGTGAACTGTGATGCTGAAGTTGCAAACCGGCCATGAGCGGGTTCAACACGGGCTGCCCGAGCTAGGCTCATGATGCACCGTTGCTTGTGTTGCTTCCTGGGGGATGGGCATAAAGGCACCAAAGAAGACATGGCTGGGGCTGAGGCATGGTCTTGTGAAGAGATGTGTCATTCTACAATCATCCCTGTCAGCCTGTCAGCCAATGTGAACATCACTGCCAACCTGCCCATAGGGTCATCAATCCTCCAAGAAGGTGTTCACACAAAATAAACTAGAAGAAAAAGCTTTTGTGCGGCAACACAAAAATGCAACCAAGTATTTGTTTGTCTTGATGCCTCTAGGGTCAGCATCTACACCCTCCGTGTCCAGCCAAACCCAAGCCTTTCCCCACCCCGTCACCCCGCCCCATGTCCAGTCCGAACTGGGCATCCGTCCCAGGCACACTGAAATGCTCAGCACCACCGCACGTCGGCCCAACGAGGCGTCCCGATAGAACATCCGCGCGAGCATCGCAGCGGCCCCTGACACGCGTGAGCTGCGCGAGCGACGCGATCGGTGACAAAGAGGGATCACCCAAAGATTGATGGAAAGCCACCTGGACCATCCAATGGGTGTCCAATATTAGACTACCCTACCCTACTTATAGGCTAGGCTTCCATTGGGCACCCATTGGAAGTGCTAGGCAGGAGTTTTGTTTCACATGGAACCTGAAGAACCTGAAAATTGATGTTCTTCTACAAACCGTCCGTGGCTTTCAGCTTTCATGTTAAGCTTCCCGCGTGTAGCCCACTGAAAGCTCACATGGACCCTGCCTCCTACGAAGATCAGTGAAGCGATCACCTGTCACCCCGCTGAAGAGGACCACATGGGACCCGGAAAACCACCTGTTTTTGCAGGGGAAAACCAATGGAAAACAGTCTTTTCCGGATCTATCCAGGTGCCCTTCGAACCAGGTGCGGTTTTCGGGAGTGTCCATTTGGGACAGGGAGGACTCGCGTGCAAGTCACGCACTTACAAGTTGAGAATCAGGGAGTTCTCCAATCGATCCCGGATCGACATACCTTCAAAGAACGTATGACTGGATCCCTAACCCGTTTGGGATCCAGTCGTAAGTACCTTTTCAGGTTCGGTGTCTCCTGGACCCGAACCCGGCACCTATACCTCGAGGAACCGTTGGCAAAAATTTTTGCCGAGGCACCATTGTGCCCTGATTTCAGCCAAATTCATCGAAAAGCGCCGAATCCAAAAAATAACGCCGAGCAATATGAAAACTGCCGACTTTAATGGTTTTCATTTGCTAGATTCTCAAACCAGCACTTGCCAGATCTTGCCAGTCTTACCAAGCCCTTCCCCGCCCCTTTCCCAAAACAAACCACAGGGTGACCATCCACAGTTTGGGCTTACATATGAGGACCGAGGGATTGGCATCCACAGTTTGGATACCTTGGAATCCTTGCACCTGGGGACAGAGATAGTTAATCCACAGTTTGGGAGTGCTTACAGAGAACACACTTGAAAGATCCAACAATGTTTGCCTAAGTGCTTGCCTTGTCTTCCGGACCTTCTTGATATTTCCCCTAGGGCTTTCTTGAAAGGCCAATCCAGGCAAGCAAAGTTCTGTCTTTGCTTCTCCGGATCACTCTCCAAAGAATGCTTTGCCGCTTCGCCCTTTCATGATCCAACCTCCCTTGACAAGGGTGGCTGTAGAACAGCTGCAACTATTGTAACAATGTTCTTTCCAGTGCAGCCATCCAAGATGTTGATTCTTATATAGGAAACCCCGACTAAGCAAAAACATGGTTACGGACAATTGCGCGAATTGTCGGGCAATTACGCCGAATTATCGGAGATTTACGCCGAATTATCGGGCAATTACGCCGAGATCTAGGGATGACAAAACTTTGGAAAACTGTGAACAACTTGACTGCCACGATTTCACGCAAGGGTGCCCGATTGGTTCACGGTGAGTTTATGTTGAATTATGCATGGTCCATGCACAGTCCACTAACTTTCACCTTGGTGATGGAATCAAATCTTTCCATTCACCGAATATGTTCAACAACAGCTTTGTGCCACTGCAATAATTAATAGGAAATCAGGGAAGAGGGTTGCCTCGGGCCACAGAAACCATTTGGCATTTCTGCCAGGCCTTCTCTATTTCTATAAGTTTAATAAACGGTTTCCTTGATCGGATCCATGGCTGGATTTGAGTGTTTACAATGAATCCCTAAGCCAACAATGCTTGGCAAGAGGTAGGAGCTACTGAAGAAAAACACTGGGCGTGAACAGCCAGGGCGCACCTCAAGAATGCCCGGTTCACCAGGTATTTGATCCCTAGAGGATTGTCGAGCCGAGTTATCATGAATCACCACAACCCGGATTGGTTCTGCATCTAATCAACCAATCAATATGTTCAAGAACCTCAAAAACCAAAAACGCCGAGTCTATCTTGGTTTTAGCAAATTACACCGAATGCCCTTTTTCAGGGCAAATTACGGGTAAAGGCGCTTTTTGCTGAGGTGGCAGAAATTTTGGTGCATTTGGAGTCTCTAGGTATAAGAGTGTCTCCAATCACCGTACCTAAGAACGTACGACTGGATCCCGAACAGGACATATATTTCGATACCTGGGGATTTCTGTAGCCTGACTAATCCTAGAATACGAGGATCGATCAAACCAACCCACAATATCCCAAGCCTCTGAACTGTCCAGGTGGATGAGTCAGCTTGCCTTTCGCAAGGTGTTCTTCTGGTTGATTGGCATCCTACGCACAACCTCAGCACCTCACGGGACTCCCATCACGGGACTCCCAACACACTCCCAAGAGACTCTAATAATTCGATCCAGGCTGATCCAGGTATAGATCTCTCTCACAGTTCCAGGTACAGTTCTCCCCCGATTTTACTTGCACGACATGATTTCCTGGAGCCCTTTCTCACCTTTCCGGGTGGTTCGGTTCTTCCTCTCTTCCTCTCCGCGCCTAAGACGCTTCGGCTGGGCTCGATGGACTCGGACTTCAAGAAGCCCTTCTCGATGTCCTGGGCGGACGATGAGACGAGGAGACCCCCCCTTGGTCTCTGGAGAGTCCGGGAAGCGGAGGCAGTGTTTCGGGCCAAATGGAGTTCAATGGATTTCAATGGAAGTCAAAGACCATTTTTTTAAATGGTTGATCTCGTGAAACAATGGTTGTTTGGTAAAGGCTATATTAAAACAATGGTGGTTCGACTTCTAGGGAATTGATAGATCTGTGTCTGAAATGCTGTGAGCATCTGTGAGCTAGATGTTGTGTGAGTTGTGGATGTGACCCTGTGCTCATGTCTGCTCGTGCTGGATCGGGGAAGAAGGTGTGTGCGGTGGGTCTGGTCTGGTTCCATCATTCGGGATCGGCTAACTCACTATATGGGTCAAGCACACCAAGTATACCAAGTGCCACGGTCTGCAGTCCAACCCCTATAGTGCTTAAACCATCTTAAACCCCTAGGGCTCCAGCTCGTCAGAACCCACCCCAGTCCCACCTTCTCAGAATGCACCACTGGAGCCCTTAAGGCCCTATAGGGCACATGATCCACCTTCGCCAGCGCCCCTACCTCCATCGAACTCACCACCTCTTCGTGCCGTGCCTCCTCGTTGCCGATCTGCACCGGCCACATGGTCATCTCCTCCTCATCCCGCTTGCGCCCCATCCTCCGTCGGAGCCTCCATGCATTCACGTCGAGACCATCCACCAGTCGGGAGACGAGCGAGGATGGAACAACGCCGAGTTCCAGCGATGATCGAACACCCAACAAATCGCTCTTTACACATCTTTACACCGGCTAAGACGCACTCGATGGATGGTGAGGTCCGTAAAATCATACTCCAAATCAGCTCTTTTAAGATGCGATGCGCACCATTGAAACTCAACCATAAAACTTCCGCGTGCGAACCCAACGCGTGCGTCTTGCTTACCCCGAAGAAAAGAAAAAAACCACGTGCCTCGCGATGCGATTGACACCAAAGAAGAAGGCTCCGAGCCGCGAGAACATGGGCCGCCCGCGGAGGACCCCGGACGCAGATCGAGTGGACCCGACCGCTGCGGCGCGTCTCGCGGGTCGGGGAGACGGGTCGACCGGGGGCGGTTGGGCGGTGGGTCTCGCGGGTCTCGCGCTGATGAGCCCGGGAGGAGCAGCTCCAAAATGGGCGAAAGATGGCGAAAGCGAGAGGAGAGCAAGCGGCTGATGGGGCAAGGTGGGATGTAGTGGGGGAGGGTTTGGTCAAAGCCTGGCTGTCAAGATATGGTTTCTGTCGGACCCAGCCAGGTGTTTCATCGTCTTTCATGGTTCGTGGTCGTTCTCGTGTGGATCCTGGTCTGGAAGGATCTGGCGTCTGGTGTGATCTATTTTGCCCTCTGATATATCCTCTACTTCATTGCCACAGGTTTGGTGAGCTCTAGCGACTCTAGCGGCCTAGCGCTACTTGAAGTTCCTGGGGAGTCGTCTTGCTTTTTTGCCTGGCGAATTAGCTGAGATGCTCAGCTTTCTGGGGGGGGCGGGGTGGATTCTGGAGCGGAGCTGCAATACAACCAGACTAGGAGCTAGGGTCATGTCAGTTGACTCATTCTTGATCGGCAACCGATTTTTTTGCAACCTCAAGGGAACTCGAGTTCCATCAACCTGCTGTAGCTCCAAACCCCTTCCCCGACGCCACAATCTTGATGATTCCGGATCACCGGTTTGAGACCGATCCCCAATTCTGACCTGTATAGTTGTTTTTGGACCCGTTCTTGTTTGGACCTGGTCCATGTGCACTCCAATACCAAACAGGTCACGATCACCCTGAATCACAAACCTGCTCCGTGCCTTCGTATCAAGCATTCTGAATCAAACCCCTCCTACGTCGACCACCTCATTTTGGGAGGCACAGTTGTGCTGATTCATTGATCCGAACCAGGATGGTTTTACCTTGGCTGTTCACTGGTTGCTTCTCTTCACAACAGACTTGGAAGTCTCGGAACCCCCGGTTTGACGCCCAGCAAAAAAGATCCAGCATGGCCGCTCGGCCATCCTTGGATTCATCAAAGTTTTATACACTTGGTAGAAGGCTTCCATAAATCAGCACCGAAACAACTTCACAACATTCAGCCTCTTTCATCCACCAGTTTGCCAATATTTTTAGATGGGCGACCACTTGAGGTCAAAAATGGGATGGTTTACATTTACAGTAACTCCTAAACTTTGGACCAGCCCATGCCGCAGCCCACAGGTCACACCGCACTTGACCCGTCTGAATGGTCTTAAACCGCTCGTGTTCCCAACCACCGCAGGTCCAAAGGGACCACCCGCAGTTGCAAAATCCATGGAGGCCGACAATGCTAAGGCCAAGGCACCACATGTTGCCCCTCCAAGGGGATATGACAGAATGACATGTTTAGTTGGTTCTGTGACTGTTGTAAGACCATGTAATCTCAAGTTCCTGTGTTCCGTGTGTTTGGACCTCCTTCCTTCCACCGCCGGCTTCGCACCTGGTCGCCGGGCCGCTCCCATGTCCGGTTTGTAGCTGAGCACCGTCCTGAGCAGGTGGAAACGTGCCGTGCGGCATAGATGCGACATTGTAGATGAAACATGCTGAAGCACCCCACGCGGACAGAACACTATATAGAATAGATCTATATCGTATCTATAGTCTATCTCTGGATATGTTTTCTCCATTTTGGGGTGCTTATTTCTCTGCCTGCACCATCAAACCAATCCCCCCCAAAGGGGGCACACCTGCCACTTCGGGTACCCTTTTGTCTGCTGGCTTTTAATGCGGTGGCTGGAACTCTGCCTGCTGAGGAGGGAAGCATTCACCTGGAACCACCCGGGCCCCTTGTTAGATTTTGTCTGCTTGTTTTGGACCGTCCCACCTCATCGCCATCGTTGAAACTCACCGCCTTCCCACGACACGTTTTGCACTTGCAAAGTCTGAGTTGAAGGCGCGCCATCCATCGCTTCAGTTCTGGCTACATCCGCACAAGAGCAACAATTTGTCCCAGAATCTTTCCCCCAACATGTCCTTCGACCCTAGTCGACCCACCCAAACCCCCGCCCCCAAAACCCCTCCGCGTGGCGCTTCTATCGCCGCGGAGCGCGGGCCCGGCTGGGTGGCGGACGCCAAGTTTCCGAGCTCAGACTCGGAGCCCCGGGAAGCAGAGCCTTGGAAGGAGCAGGAGCGAGGCAACCAAGAGAGGTTGAACAGCTCTATATCCCATCCCGTATATACCATTTACGGCGTTCTATAGGGTCTCAAGAACCTCTCTCGGGAGAGAGGTAAGCATTCATAAGGTAAAGTGCCAAGATCCATGAAATATCTACTTCATGCTACTTCACACGACTCGCAATCATGCCAGCCCTTCAAGAAATCAAGAGTATTCCGAAAACGATCCAGTAAACTACACCCTCACACATGAATTCGGAATTCTCACTAGACCACGCTCAAAGAATCCGTGAGAAGGGAACAATCCACCAACGGGACCCGAGTTCATTGGAAGCACTTTCGGCCACATTCCGGCATTTACACTTTCACACCGCCCACCATGTGCTCTTTCGACAGCCGTCCTCATGTCCCCCCATCCTGAGTGACCCCTGCGTGAGGGTGGGGCGCACCGCCTCCAAGCAGGGTGGGTTTCAGGTGGTCTCTTCCAACAGGACACTGGAAGAACACCTTTGGAATTGCCCGCGCAATCCCTGGCAAACCATTCACATACCTAAACACACACACACACACACGATGGTGGTTGAACAGGGGTCAGTGTAGGTATTCCATACCTTTCTTTGTGCGCGGCGCGGTGTGGTAAAATATACAGTGATGTTCACCAGCTCTTCAGATCAAGCGGTATGTCATCCGCATGCATAAGGGTGTGGACCCATCGAGCACGGTGTAGTCTGTGACCGCTGTAATTCTTCTGAGAGGGAATGCTCCGCTGAAAACATGGCTCTCAATGATGTTTAGCGGCCTCCTTAACAATTGACGATATAATAGCTATATATTAATGCATATATAACAGCGAATTGCAAACAACTGTCAATCTACGGAGCAAATGCATGCAAATGCATTGCAAAAAAAGGAACCCAACCCACTGCGACGTTCCAGTATGAATGATGGCGTTACTATGATGAGTCTAAATCACCAATGGAGTTGCCTCACTGCTATGCCTGCTGTCAATGGACACGTGATGGATGTAATAATGTAATAGGCGAAAACCACGAGAGGAACATGGCCGAGCCAAGTTGCAAAACAACCAAATGCTCCAGCGTTTCTTACAGAAATACTCATGCAGCATGCACCAATCTGAACTGGATGCATTCTGCTTTGGAAAGCTTCACGTATATTCTCAAGACTGGTGACCTATCCATGGCCCATGATATCATCTCCATCATCTGGTGTCCAGGTCTCGACTCTCCAGTCAGGTTAGACACGTTCGACTCCCACTGAAAACATCTGAACCTTGCAGATCGCTGTGCTGGTCTCGCCTCGTTCCACTCGGATCCCAGAATTTGTTCGCCATGCAAAACAGGTCGCAACGCCGCGGTGCTCCGTGGAAAAAACGCCGCGGTGCTCCGTGCCTCCCACGCGTCTCATCTCCCTGCGGAGTCGAATCCAAGCGATCGATGTGAAGAGAATTCTGGACCACGCCTGGAGAATTCTGTGTCAACAAGCAGTACATGTGGGTAAGGAATCATGGAGGTATATATGCCATACATGGAGTGTATGGGCAAAAGAACATCAACAAGTCTTAATTACACTCTTCACAGCTTCACATGGTTACGTGGAGTTCGCCCAGTGAAGTTCGGTAGAGGAGTCGTCGTCGATTTGGAGGGACCCATGCCATGATCACAAAGACCATGTGATGTGTGACGAACTCGAGTGTTGTTCGTCGTCATCTTCAACCTGGGAAACCACGCCGTTTTTGCGACCTGTACTACACCCGACACCAAGGACCCCCCCTAGGCTTTGGCTCTGGCCTGAGTTCGCCCAGAGTCAACTCGATAGAAGGGGCACTCATGTCAACATCCAGGTGGTCACCCTCCAATGCACCAGGAACCAAAAAGCATGAACACGGCTTGGCTTTTTTTTGGATGGCTGCAGTATCTCAGCTGGTGTTTCACCTGTGGATCGAGACCCCCAAAATCCATCTGACACCTGCTTGGATTGACGCCTCAGGGCTTTTCAGACCCCACTCTTTTCCTCATCCGACCCGACCTGACGCTCGACGGAGGGCGAAGGCCTGAGCGAAGGGGGGCGACCCCAAATCCACCACTTAGGAGTGGCTTCAGAAGAAAAAGAACGTGAGGACTGGACCAATGGAACTTCGACCCAGACTGGAAGACCATTTACCGAATACCAAACCGGGCGTGGTATTCAGATTCCATGTGGGTAGATCGCACCATCCCTCATGCCGGTGGATTTGGAACTCTCATCAGGTCCACGGAGAAGCCACCAGTGGTGTCCACTCTCCTCACCGACGGGCAGCGATCGACATGAAGAAACGTGCACGGGTGGCAAAACCTGTGTACTGAAACAGGCTGTGTTCGGCCGAAGTGCAGTACACATCTGTTGCCACCCGTTCCAAAATATGGAACTCCTCCAACCGAACACATCCTGTTTCAGTACACAGGCTGGAGGTCCTCAAACTACTCCGTCCAGTCTCCAGATCGCCCATGAGTGAGGTTGGAGGATTGTTTCCTCTAATGTTCATTTGTTTGCATCGGCCTTAAGTGGAACGCTGCGGAGCACAAAAGACACACTTTTCAATGTCGAAGTTGGCAGCACCTTCGCACGGCCGGTGATTGGTGAGTCCAAGGTTCTTCGGCCACTTGGGGGCCAGGAAAGGCCAATGTTTGGAACCAGTTTGATTACGGGAGGCTCCCAAGTTGTGGAGGAAGTTCTGGTCTGCTCAATGATCTTTGATGATCTTTGTATCTCTTCTGTGGCGGTGGCACTTATATACATTGCGGAACCCTCTTGCTGATTAACATGGACCCCAAAAGCATCCCAAAACCACTGGCTGAATGCCAATTGTTTTGGGTGTCTCCCCTAATGTCTCCTTGATTTGGATTTTAGAACCTCTTCATCTGTTGTTTATTTTGTTGGCTTATAAGCTTTCTCAATCAGGACTGCCCAAGTTGCGCACTTCTCCGCCTCAACTTTTTGCGCCCTCAGCCGGAGCCCTCGGAGTCCGAGGCGATGGCAACCTTGGCCTTGGCCTCGCAGGTGCAGTGCATCCGGTGATGGAGGATTGACTTGAACGAGTTCTAGGTTCCAAGATGTGTTTATCGTACATGATCATACTAACATTCTACAACTTCTAATTTGAGACTTCTAGCAAAGGTGATGAGTAGCTTCCTCTACTGATGTAACAGGATGGTCTTTTGCCAAAGGGGAAGCGACTTTCCTCTGACAAAGGCCTTTCCAAAGCCATGAGTGGAGGGAGGCTAATGGTCAGTTGCCTTTCTCAATCTCACGTCCCTCGTGAAGAGACGTGGCAAATTCATGCAAATCAAGAACGTTCTTGGATCTAATTGGTTTCCTCGACCACTATATAGATTGCAAACAACCAACTGATTGAAATAAGCAGGCTTAAACATGTGACCGAATTGTGATCTAGATGACCCCTCAATATTGCTAGCGGGTTCCCATTCTGAAGTGCCTGCGAGCTCACCTCTGAAGTCCAAACCACACCTCCTGCCAGCCTCGATTTGTGGGTCAATCAGACTGTTAAAAGGGGTTCCCGCCCTACAACCATCACCATATACCAGGGCCCCCCCTAAGGGGTGGTTAATGGACATCCCTTAACCTCTAAGGAGCTATAATTAGACACCCCTTAGGGGGCGCAGGTACTGATACTGTTTGTTGTTGGAAGTGGGTGCCAAGGGGTTGGACAAGCTTCTAGATGGCTGGAGCCCTAGGACCCTAGGACGCCTAGGACCAGAAAAAAACCTGGAGCACTGGGACAAACAACCCATTCCCCAAAGCCTCCCTCCTCCTTCGAAACTCCTGGTCCTGGCCTTACTACGAACGGAGCGATTGGACGCTACGAACGGGGCTCCTGGCCTCCGCTGCTAGTAGCAAGAAGCTATAGGCTTCCAAGACCATTCAAAGAAATGCGTAGTGTAAAATCCTTAGTAAAACAATGGTGGTTCGGTAAAGGCCATTAAAACAGCAATGGTTGTTGGAAGCCTAGGGACGGAACAAGAAGGACAAGAGCGTCCGACCAGCGCGAACCGGCAGCGCGAACCGGGATACGTGGGCCGATCTTAGTAGTTCTTGGCTCCTTCCTAAACCCTATGGGATCCGTTTGCGTACCGAACCTCAGGTCTACGGTGAGGACGGAGACACTCGGACATGCCAAAAACGTCGGGTCCAGGAGACACCGAACCGGGTCGGTTCGGTACGACAACGGATCCCTAAAGGGAAAAAACCATCCCACCTTCCCAACCCTCAACCTGCGAGACGACCGCCTTCCGCCCCCCGGCGGCTGGATCGGCAGCCTTCCGCCGCCCCAGCTCCCACGCCCCGACAGCCTTGGGCTTCGCCTTGGCGGCTCCGTTCGTGGGGCCCTTCTTGGTGAACTCGTCGGCCTCACATCGAAGGAGCGGGGGTCAGACTGAAAGCTGCGGTCCGGTTTCTGTTTTGAGGGAGGCTTGGCCTTGAGCAACAAACTTTTTGGAAGAGAACGATCGGTTCAAAGAAACCGAAAAATCATGATGGAAAACCATGAAATCCAAAGGGTTTGGTAAGTTTTTGAAGGCAGGATATGGCAGGATTGTGTGGTTGTTTCTGTTGGTTTCTCGGTTTAGATGGGTTTGGAGCTTTTGCAGGGACCAATCTGAACATGAGCTGTCAGCAATGCTGTCAGTGAAGCTCCCTGTGTTTCTACTTATAGGGCCACTATTGCGAGCGATGAGAACTCCTCCATGGGTAGTTTGGGAGATTGTCGCTCCAGTCCCTTCAATGGCCGGTCCTACCAGGCCGGGGGCACTGCAGCTTGGCAGCGGAATCAACCCCTAAACAGTTCGAAATACACCGTGACAAACACACTTCTAACCTCCACATCGTCTACCACACACTTCGATTTCGAACCACATCGGACCATGTAACTGCATCGTCGACCAATCTGTTCAACCTCTCACCCACAAGTCTTACCCCAAGACTGTTCCCACTTTTCCCTAGAAGGCCAGTTTGACCTCATGTTCCTGGAGTTGACGCAGAAACTCTACTCCATGAGGAAAAAGGACCAGGATCTGACTGATTACTGATTACTGGGTCAAACTGGATCGAACCAGGCTGCCTCGCGTGGGAGAGAACCACCCAACAGCCACCCGGCCAGACTTACTCCACCCGGCCTTGTTCCGCCGACCAATGCCGATGGCCTGAGGCATGACTCCCGGTGCGAAGAAGTCAGAGGTTGGGCGGTTGATGGCAATCTGACGGTAGTTAGAAGTTAGACAGATTTAAATATAAAGCAATCACTTACTGAACTCAATGACCATACTTGTTTCCTCCTTGCCAGGCCAACTCACGAGCCATTCCTCACTTCTGCCGCCTTTGGACCGCCACCTGGCCCTAGCCGACCTCTGCCGGCCCCTCGACTCCCGCCCCGATCCGGCGCCTTCACTTGCTTCAGAGGCCGGTCCGGCGAGGGTGTCTTGACCCTCGCTTTGGTCCGCCCACCCATGGCCTCCGTGCAGTCGAAGGCGACACACCGAGCTTGGGATAGCCGCAACTGGCGCCAGGGGTTGGGTGAGTGGAATCGGTGTTCAGAACGTGGGGACGAAGAATACTGTACAACAAGGATGTGGCGCCCACACGCACAAAAGGTACAAAAGCAAACTGTACATCGAAGTGTGTAGCTTTTCGCGATCTTTCGCGGGAACCAAAAACCTAACGAGAACACGTGATTCGTGTTCCATATCACCTTTAACTTTCCATATCAGAACCACCTGCTGTGAAGATGGCATCCGTACAAAAACCAAGTTTTTCAGAGTCATGGCCGGCATGAGCGCGGTACCCTCCCCTGAAAGAATCAGCAAATCCGAAGACCACAAACGACCAGTCGAACTCCTATGGAAATATTCTGAACTGATAAATTGGTTGTATGATGTTTTATGATGATCATGATCTTTTGGTGGTGAAATCATCGATTTACGTCCGGAACCCCGCGACTCGATGGAATGTGTGGATCAGGAGCCTGTGAACTCCAATACAAACATCACCTGATCCAAACCAGGATGATCGACAACTCGAGTGATGACGTGGCGCGGTGCCCGCGCGTGCGTTTCTCGCGCGGCGGCGCCCCTGTTCGCCTTGAACTTGGAATCGGCCTGGCCTACGAGGCCACCGCCCTCAGGGGACCAAGAGCGCGACCTAGAACGCTCCTCCTGGCACGTGAGGCACACGCGGGCGGAAAAGGCGCTCGACAGGTCTTGAGGGCCGTTCTTTTTTCGTCACAAAGAAATCACCGTGGAGGTGAGGTGAGGAATTTTGGGAGGCCTTTTGAAGGAATTGAGAGGTTCGGACTGGGCTGATCACGTACCTTTTCACCGTGGCCTTCTCTCGAAGGAGGGTTTTCAGGTAGATCTGACGCTGCTGTGCTGCAGCCGGATGGACTTCCACTCATGCCGGAGCTTCTCCCAGTCTGATCTCGCAGCCATGCCTTTTCGCTTGGCAGCCACACCACAGTCGATGGAAATAAAACAGGTGGCCCTATAGGAATGTGTATGTTATGGTTGTGCAAGCTCAAGCTGATACCCTCTGTGTGGCATCGTGACTTTGCAACTTGTTGCCGGATCTACGGCCATTCTTTGACCAAATCCTATCCCAGCTCACCAACCTTGGACTCGAGGCATCTCAGATCGACTTGATGTCTCCGGAGGGTCTGCAATTCACAGATCAGGGGGCGGGCGTCTAGCAAAGCATGAGCGTAGATTGCGTAGATGACCGTGCTCTGTCATGTCCAATTTTGCATGAGGATTCATGCAAAGAACTATAGATGTGCTGTCATTGGTGAGATCCCTCTGCAGGTGCTCAATGGCTGTGGAACTCCAAGCGCAGGCCCTGTATGCCATGAACCTGCCAGGCCACATGCCAGGTCTCTTTCTTCACGAACCCGTGCTGAAAGGGGGTCAGCACCCTTTGCGCATTGCCTGTTCTCGAAGCAAAGCTGGGAGGTCAATGCAACGCCACTCTTCGCCTGAAAGGATGTCTGGGGTGGCCGACCTGAACTCGTAGCCGCACGCACCTGCCCGGCGTTGGTTGATGCAAGCAGAAATGCTCGCGGTGCAAATGCCGAGCGCAGCGGCAGCGTTGCGGATAGATGAATGCTTTGTCCACTCTTTGCTGCTCTTTAATCTGCTCTCGATTGGCCTGCCACTGGTGCAGTTTCTGATGCTTGTGTTCGAATAAAAGTGTGCCATGTTTTCAGATTGTGTCACGTACTCCAGGTTTTCAGCTGAGTTATTTCTTTTGTCCAGGTCTTTGTGGTTAACATACACGCGACGTTGAGATAAAGGCGGCCCCAGAAATGCAAATGCCACAAGACGGTGGACATGTTCAACACGTCTGTCAGAATTTAAGCTGATGCCGGTCCTGTAGTACCCTGACTTCTCTAAGTGTCCCCAAGATACCAAACCTGTTTGAGATTTGATCCGGCCAGAAGAGCTCACCATCCGTCCAGGCACCTTCAAGCCAAACACGGGATCATACATTTGTTGCCAGTCCTCTCCCTCCAGCGCTCCTGTCCCATGACTGTCCGCAACTTGAAACTCATGACCTTTCACTGTTGTGCCTTGACGGCATCCCCTCGCAACTGAAGGCTGGCTCATGCCAAGCTCAGCTGCTGCCTGCGTCATTGAGGAGGAGATATTCCAGCTTTGGGACTCAACAGCTCTCCACATCACAGGTATGGACCGCCGAGCCCCGCCACAACGTCTAGTTTGACTGGCATACGAGGCAATGATGTTCTGGCTTGGCGTTACATACTCCAAGTTGTCCAAAAGATTGTTGGCCTTGTTGCCATCGCGATGATGCACCTGCCATGTCAAGTCATCAGGTGAAGGACCGAGAAAAGCGAAGGCCACCAAGCGATGGACCAAAAAGGAATTGCCTGATATCTTGACCCTGTAGTAGCCTGTTGGCTGTAAGTGTCCATACGATGCTTGTCCTCTAGTGTCGCACACCCTGCCATGGGAACTCACCTGCCAGCCTGCTGCAGCTCCACCGGTCTGGAGGGGCACCACACTGGACATGCTTCTCCAGGCGTAAGCAACGGCAAGACTTCTGGCGCCAAACAACTCTTGACAAGTCTGGCTGGAAGCTGATCGAGAAACAACAAACGCCATCGCCCGACTTCAAGATACTAAACTTTCTGCGAAGACAATATGTCAATAATTGTCAATATTATGTTGCTGTAAATGGGCAAGGCAAATGCGCATGCATCAATCACCTCTCCTTTCGTCCTTTGAGATAATCAGGGGTATCTTCCGACTACACCAACCCAGACCCAGCCTCCAAAACTCTACCAATAGTCTTGGAAAGGGTTGCCTCAAACCGTACCTTTGTGATCATACCAGACGCGTTTAGATTCCTACACCTTGTCTGAAAAGCATGAACCAAGTCGTTGCAGGAGTTGCCCAGGCGGATCATTTGCTTCTGAGCCTGGTGATGGGAGCTACTTGGATGAAGCCCTGGAGCCTTGGACCAACCCCGGTGTGGAACACCTGTCACCTGACTATCAAATGGGTTCGTCAATTTGAAAACAAGAGGACCCCAAATACAAATCGTGTTTGCTCTACTTTCCTCCTTCCATTATTTCAGTCCACACATTGTCTGACTATATAGAGTTCCGAACAAGCAATAGGTTGATTTGAAGAAAGTTGAGGGTCTCTGATCTGGACTGCCGAATTCATGGGCAAACTGTTTGCCACATCAGGCAATCGCAAATTCTGCGACCCATGTTTTCCAAAATGTTGGCAAATGTAGCGGCAAAGCGTTACGACACCATCGCACAGCCAGCCATCTCATATCTTGGATTCGGACTGATGCGAAGAATGATTGTGCTGCAAATAAATTACCCATTCCTTCACTGGCTGACTTCCAATGGCAGGGCCCAGGTCATCAACCTGCTACTAGGCCGAATTGTCCAAGTCTCTTCGGTCGCAGGTCGATCTTTGCAGCATCAGTTTGTACAAGGCTCTAGCTGGGGGTTGGAAGTGTCTGTATTTAGTAGATCATGGTAGGTTCATCCGCAATAGAGACAAAGAACAAGCTACGAACGGCAGAATTTTGCGGCGAGCAACCAACACTGAGTTGAAGCTCAACACCATTGTCACAGGAGCTTGGAATCGTGGCTGGATGTGACTTCGAATCTGCACTTAGCTTTCTCCACATCCCATCTAATCCCCCAACTTGACTCACTCCCTGGCACACGCACGAACAGCAGGGCCACGCCTTCTTCTTCTGCTGGGCCATGGCTAAGCCCGGGAAGCGGATGGCCATCGAGAGCTTCCGTGCGGCCTCAATGCCTCAGTGAAACAGCAAGCTTTCAGGCCTGCAACATGAAAAGGAAGCTCTAAAACATATGAAGGCATCTATAACTGTTGATTCATAATATGGTCTACGATCTATATAAGTTTGAAGATGTAAGACCATTCTGGAGACGGGTCGACTAATCAACAGTTCACATTATGGCTAGGCTACACCAGGTTAATTAAGCCCCAACCCTTCCCAAGTATGCCGTGTATGCTGTGTGTCGCCACTATGCTCAACCTAAAGAAGCCTCCCCTACCCCCTCTCCTAGACAACTTACTTCTCATCTTCTGCACGTGGAGAGTCTTGTGCGCGCGGTCGGGACTTGTCAGCCCAAGTGGCGCTCCTTCTTCAGCCGTGCCTCCTTTTCCTCCTCCGTCTCATTAGGAGGCGCCTGGTCCATGCGGGTGGTGGAGTGAACCCACCCGCATCAGGGGCAACACCATGCACTTCGAGTTTCATTCGTATCAAACAGTCCGGTCTGGAAAGTGGGTGGGATGGGGCTGACGACGTTCAGTTTGCAAAAGCCTGCCAATGGCCATTTAAAGCATGCAACATCCACATGTTAACCATGTGTGAGACAGTTCCTTCTGTGATGACGGCAGCAACAACTATACAACATAAGTAACATAAGTCAAAGTCTCTTTGCTTGGTACGTTTGGCCTTTGGTGGTGGGATCGAGTTCAAAAGTACAGTTCCACTGATGCAACTACCAAATGTTTCTGTGATGAGCAGTTCCTTGCAGATTACTTGTGGCCGTGGAGCAGGGGAAGTCTACTCGAGGCTCCATGCTGCTTTCCACGTTGAATCGCATGTTCGAGACGTTCGATTTGACTTTCGAACGTTCGTGGGATGGTGGAGAAGCAAGTCATAGAGATCTCTTTCCAGGCACAAGCAAGTTGCGCAAACAAACAGCCGCTGGAGAAAAAGGATGACACGCCATCACACAAGGACCGACCAGTTCCGCCTTTTACCCGGGCTTCCCAGAGACTTAAAACAAATCAACGGCTGCCCAAACGTTTCTCCTCGCAGGTCAAGACAACGAAGTGGCAAACAGTTTGCAGCTGCGAAGCTCCGTGAAAACCCATCCGGGGTGCGGGGCAAAATCATGGAAAAAAGGGGCGATTCATGCATGCATTGGATCTGGTTTGGTGGCTTCAACTCACTTGAAACATACGAGTCAGTGTTTTCAATCATCCCAAGCAAAGGTTGAACATAAACATCTCTGAAACCACCACGCACTTACGGCCTATGGCCACTCCCCTTCTGTGGGCCAAAAACCGCCAAGCGTTCCAAAAACCGCCACGTTCGTGCGAGCCGGCCTCCTGCTTCTTTTTCGTGGGGCTTGGGGATCGAGCACGGCCTGGAAAGCTGGAAAGCACGGCTTGGCGTTCGGAACACCCTAGGCCCTAGGGCTCCTGGCCCACCTCCGTTTCGTTTCGATGGGCCAGGGGTGGGTGGACTAGGGGGGGTCGAATACCACCGAACCTGAGGATATGGGACAGGAGCCCTAGGGACAGGAAAATGGGCCGATGGGTACATGTGCACCCGGAGTCTGTAGATGTCGATCTAGAAGACTTATATAGTCTGAGATGGGGGTGGCAAATGGTAGAGATGCCAGTTTCTGGCTCAAGCGAATCCTGCTCACAGGATCAGATCCAATGATCCCCAGTCAGATCAATTAGATGTCCTTCAACCTCGCGTCCTTGAACCCAATACGAGCACATCGGACGCCTCTGGTTCTGATGCTCCCACCCACATCGATCCATAACTTCCTGGAAGCCAAGGATCGACAAGGTTCCTCCTACCCACCTTGTTCTTTTGGGCATGCCCACTTCCACCCACTTCAATCATGGTAGCCACTCTATGCCCCCAGGATTGTTGCACAAACTGCAAAATCTTCGATTGCACGAGCCAAAGTGTTTCCATAGCACTCTCTTGTTCTTTGCTTTTCGAGCCTGAGGCCACCTTCTCATAGAATTGCAGCCATTTCTCCCAGTGCTCGTCGGCTTTCAAGGTGTGGGAATTCCCCACCACCACCCTGCAATGACAGCATTTCGAGAAACACGCCAAATCTTGCAGCTCATGCACCACCTTCTGGTTGAGTAATGTATACTGTTGATTGATGGAGATGCAACACCATTCTGGATCAACACTCCATCCTGGTACCACCGAAATGTACCCTGTACTAAGCTCTGGAGCTCAGTCGTCCCAGGCAACGACCCGACCTCATCCCAGCACCCTGAACCCTAAACTGCGTGGTGTAACCAGTAAGTCTACGGCAGTGAATTGCTTCGCTGGCAGAAAGGAAGAAAAGCCCCTACACGATGCACATGCCTATTGTATGTTTCATAGCAAGGTCTAATCAACTGAATGCAAGTGTTCGCGAGCAGTGTACGGCTGAGAGGTGTAGTGCCCTTTTAGGCACATACATAGCTGACTAACTCATATGCATATACCTAGCTGACCAAGGGGTTGATGCCTTGAGGTTGTAAAAGCTTGCTACAACAAAGTTCAGTTGGTCCACTCTCCTCCGTTGCTATGTTTGGCCGGGTGTTTTCACCCTGCCAGGCCGGAAAAGCTGATAGATTGATCTCCCTCCTAAGTCTATTCTGTATTATTCTGTTCCACTTTTGGTGGGACAAAAGCACGGTGTCTCGCTGCCATGACCCACAGCCATATCTCTGCGGACCTGAACTGACTCCTTCTTTGAAAACAACAAATTGGTTATATAAAGGTTACAGTCTCCACGTGTCCTGGGTCTGTGAACCACGCGTCCAAGACGCGGACAATCGCTTCACTGCCCAGTGGCATCCCTCGCCGCGCGCGCGTCAGCATGACGTTCAGCCGTCGCCAATCGGCGAGGAAGCCCACGTTGCCCACCCTGCAAACGGAACGAGGCGACGGAAGTGCTTGGAGCAGCTGCTTCGAACCATTTTCCGTACGAACTGCTCATGTCAAGCCATGTCAAGCCGGTCGCCTCCCTACAGCTACAGCCCCCCCTCTTCTTTTGGAGCCATCCACTTGCCGCGGGCCCACGGCTCACCCTCCCTCCAGCTCATGTTCCGTCGCCTATTGCAGCGCACCGCGGAGAAGATGATGAGATCCTTCTCGCGGCCCTGGAACTGATCCACCGAGGCGATCCTCAGCCACTGCCCACCGCGACCCACCGGGCGATCCGAGCGATCCCGGCGATCCGAGCGATCCCGGCGCGGGACGCGAAGACCGTGACTCCGGACGCGACCCGTCCTGGGACTGTCAGGACGGACCTACCGCCCCAGACAGATCCCGCAGTCCACCACCCCGATCGGCCGTTAAGGCAGTTCCGGACTGGCAGTCCCACGAGTCACGTCTGGGTGAGGAAAAGCTCCCACGCGTTCGGGAAGAAAGCTTCCGGAGCTCCGCGAAGACGGATGAAGGGCGGGCCGTGAGGAAGAGACGCCATGTCGAAGTGATTGGTGTGTGTGTGATTTCCAACATCCCCCCCGCCCTAAGGATCCTTGGACCCTCCTTAGAAGGGGCCGAACCCTCTATAACAAGGGTTTGTGCCCTCAAAACCCGGAAACTAACATGGACCGCGAGAATGGACCCCTGGAAAACCATTCATTGGGTTTGGGGCTCCATGCAAGGGAGTATACAAAAGGGAGCACAAATGCGGTTGGGGAAGCACGCCCACTATAAGGGCTTTCTCCATGGAAATTGTGACCAGATTGATCTGTGAGCCATGTATGCGCATGGAGCCTTTGGAACCTTGACTGCCATAGACACCAAAATGCATCGTACTTGAAATGGAAAGAATATCGCCGAAAAATGCTGAATAGCTTCTAAGTCTAAGCCCCATAGCCTTCCCTCCAGCATTCAACCCCATTTGAACCGCCTCCGGCGGACCACCTTCTAAACCCGGCAGGCTGGCTGTCCGCCCCCCAACGCACGGACGAGAGCGCCTTGCCCACCGAGGCGCTCGAGGAGCTCCGGGTCCATACCTTCTGGGATGATCTGTTTGCACATCCTCCGAGGTCGATTCCGCTCTGGCGGAGACCCTCCCTCCACAGACCTTCTTTGAAGGTAAGGAAAAAAGAAAAGGTATGAAGGTATGACTGGGCCCTTCTTTGAAGGTATGACTGGGCCCTGGCGCCTACTTCAATAGTCTCCAATCACCTTCGAAGGCACGTGGATCGGGACCTCTGAGGTTCCTTCAGTCCACCCACCGAGTGCCGCCGCGGAGTTCGACGTCGCCGGAGGACCGGGTCTAAAGCCCCCCAATCGGAGTCCGACTCGGTAGATGTCTGGAATTGGATGACAGGATATGACAGGATATTTCGTGGAATCTCTTGAATACACGACTGTATCATACCCTAAGATACCTACATGGGGGTGGTTTGAGCGTGGATACCAATGGAGTGTCTGGGATATATCACGTTCGCGAGTCGTCGTCGTCTCTCAAGGCAACGGTGGAGAGGTCAGGTCGATGGTGACCGTTTGGAACAAATAAGAGGGGTTGCAGCGTGTTTGTGGGTCATCCACGGGACGCAAGCACCTCGATATCGCCAAGTCTCGAACTCAAAATGCACAGAATCCAGCAAGTGAAGCAAAGCCAACTTTCCAATCCCGTTGGTCATTGTATTTCATGGTGCAAGGGTCAACAAACAATGGACACAAATTCCTGCTTTGTTATTCAGGTGTTCAAATGGTGATTAACCCAATTCTGTTCATCGTTGTGGGAGTCCTTCTATCAAGCTTCCTATCGGCACCTCCCCATTGTTTCTCACTGTTTCTAACGTGACGCAAAGGCCCGCGCCTCTTCAGCAAGCGCACCTGTGCGACATAGGGTGTGACCACACCAATCTCGGTAATCTCCAACTCCCGCTGGAAGAAAGCGTCCTGCACACGCGACGCCTTTTCGCTAGCCTGGTGGTGCAAGGAACATGTGCGGTTTGAAAGACCTGTTCAACTCTGCCAAGACCAATCATCCAAACGCAGTCGAACATAGTTGAGCTTTGGAATCTTGTCGGGCAACTTTGCAACATCGCTCTTCCACGAGTCCTGTTGGGGTGGCTTCCACTAAACTCTGTGAATATAGAACAGAATAGAAGTAAGAAGATGTAAGAAGGGGGATGTCTATGCCCCACGCAAAGAGATTCCACAGCATGGGTGTTGCGATTGATCCGGAGGACAGGGGATATGAAGATGACTAGATGCGTTCTCCTCATGATCCCTTCTTTGCCATTGCAGCCACAGCCCGAGAGAATCCCGATAGATGTAGGTTGATGTGATGAGAAAAAGGAAAGCAATACAGAGATGTCAAAAACTTTCATCTTGACTGTTTGATTTACATTGATTCACTATGGATTCTCTTAGGTGATCTTGACTGATTTTAGATGTGCTCCATCGGCCCGAAAAGTACCTCTCAAGGTCCAGCCGAGCGAGAAGGACTGTGGCGATAAAATGTCCCACACACGACCGGACCGGAACAGGAACTGGGAAGAATGCAGCAACTGGAACTGGATTGGTCCATCAACTACCCACAATTTGCACCATTTGAGTGCCAAAAAAGAAGAGGTCTGGAGGCGAGATTGAGACATTGACAACATGCCCATCAGAAAAACCCATCGCAACAGAACTGACCAAAGGTCGCTCCTGAACCAGCCGCTGGACCAGCTCCGCTTCGGTGGGATTGTACCTGAGCTCTGACTCAGAGCCGGAGCTCTCGGAGCTCTTTGGGTGTCTGGAACTCTCATGGCCTCGATTGAATGGGCAACATGTGTTGCAGTAACCTCAGCACCTGAGTAGAAATTCTGGGGGATGAAGTAGATAGAACCCCCTGGAGCCACTAGGGCAAATGAACAAGCAGCAGGTCTCATAATACGTCCTTGTTACATAGTTAAGACTTAATCATGCCATATATTGGAGATGAATCAACAAACTCCTTTTAACGCCAGGTATTTGGTGGTGTTGGGGCCTCATTACCAGCAATTGATGGTTAGGTTGGCCTTTCTCTGAAATAGTGAGAATCTGTTCTCGACTGTTGCTGGTAATGGGTCACATCCTAGACGGGCTTCGTTTCCACCATAGACCACCCCTTAATCCGAAGGCCTCAACACACCCAGCGGCAAAAAGAACAGCCGCTGCTGTTCGGTCAGGTCGATCAAGAACAGGAACACCCTTCAGGTGACACCCAAGCAGAAATTTCATAGTATAAATGACCAACTCACTATGTTGACTTGTTGGTTCATCATATAGTCATATAGAACTCTCCATGTTAAGATGTGAACGACCATTCTACGGCAGTGGGATCAGAGTAATCCATGTAATCCATAGTCAATATTATGTCAACATTTCTCGTATATACATTAAATTGAAGTTAAATCAGTCAACATATACATTAAGCCTTGACATAATGTCAACCATTATGTCAACAATCCATTATCTCATATACAGTACATCCATACTCTCAACTGTAAGTTAAATCAGTCCAGCGAATCCACCAGTTCTCGTCCATCCGCGCGGATTTTTTTCACACCTCTGTGGTTTCGGATCCCGCGAGTGAAACAGTGGCCGAAACTGTGCAGCGTGAGGCGCTTGGATTCACCTTCCTCCTCTTCTTGACCATCCGATGGGAGGAAGGCGATGGGCGACTGGTGGTTGGGCCACGGCAAGCCTCGGGTTCCGCCGAGGCACGCGGCTAGCTTGCGAGCAGCGTGATTCACTGGGTGAGAAGTGGTTCACATCAGCGATGTCGGGATTCTGAGGGGTAGATAGATCCGAAAGTAGGAGAAAAACAGTATCTCAAAATTTGGGATGCCAGATGTGGAGTATCTGGTGCCACTCACAGAGGGGCTTGGCGCCACGCCACTTAGGGGGGTATGGGACATAGACGAGTAGGCCATGGAACTTAGGGTGTCGGGCCATGGAGTGAACCAAATGCCATACTACCGATTTCCGGTCTGGAGGCAATGGCCTTCAATGGCCAACCTAGTAGTTTCTTGCTACTAGTAGTGATGGCCTCCAAGCTACTAGCGATGGCCTCCAACCTAGTACCTTCTTGCTACTAATTCTCCACTTGATCCTAGTTCTGAAAATCCGAGCTGCCACGGATCTGCTTGCGGTCACTCCCTTTGATCCCCGACTTCAGCCTCACACAACAAGCAGCGCGGCGGCGTCGCGCCGGCGAGGCGAAAAAGTGGTGCCGTGATGATCATGGGTGTAACATGGTCTAACAGGGATCCATCAAATCCCATTGGAGAACGAAACAAACATGCACAAACAGCGGGAACAGGTTCCACTCTTTCATCACATTAGTCATATTGCTGGGGAAATCCACCTTTTTGGACGCATCTGGTGAAGTCTTCCACCCACATCCCACGACTCCATTCCACAATCCGCTGCTTGAAGCTCTGTTTAAAACAGGGTCCAAGCTGGAAGCCTCAGTTTTGGTGGTGCCAAGGACGGCAAATGTGTTTTCTTCCTGTAGGGGTGGCGGAATGTCTGCCAACAACCACCCAAATCGCCATGTCTTGTCACACGGACATGGAGTCAAGTGTTTGGCGGAATCGTCTGATTGACTTCAACAAATCATTGGATTGCATGATTCAGGTGACAATTCATTATGCAACTTCATCAAATAGGCAAACATGAAACATGTTTGATAGTGACCATCGCTTGCCTCGTCTACATCGTTGATCACCCTTTTCCCCCTGTCCGACTTGCCACCCAGCTGCTTGCCGGCATAAAAGGTTCGTGCAGAAAACTGGCCGAGGCATGAGGCTGTGCGAGATCCATCATTCATGAGATCCCTATCCCAAACACTCCATGGGACCGCCATATATGCCTACATTGACCCCCAAAACCACCCCAACTGATCGGCATATATGGCAGTCCCATGGAGTGTTTGGGTATGACAGAATATCTCTGCAGGTGTCTGAATCGAAGGCCGGTCAAGTAGGGCGTTACAGCAAGGGGTGGAGGAAGTGCCCAGCCAAACCTCACAGCAATGCTGAAGTGTCATGGATTGGGTGATGAATTGTCTCTTACCCTGCAAAAATGCTATAAACCCTAGGGCTCCAAGTACATTCTAAGAAGGCGGGACTGGGGTGGGTGCCATGTTCAGGTCCAGCCATACCTTCTGAGGAGGTACGACTGGAGCCCTAGGGAAAATGTTCTGCAAGTGGTTAGTCCCTCTCTAACCCTTTGGAAAGCTACTGTATATGAAAATGCTTGACGAACCGGCGGGTTCAACGTGCTCAAGAGAGCGTGCGGTGCGTGCTCAAACAAACGACGTCCCACTGTCCTGAAGTGACCCTCGAAATATCTGGACACAGGTGAGTTTGGCGAGTCAAGCAAGTCAAAAAAGGACGTTGCTGATGTCGAGATCTATCTCTTATTGAACTTGCTTTGAGCATTTTAGTGTCGATACCTTTGCCCACTATGATACACTCCCAACAAAATTCAACAGGACAGCCAGGATTGAATTTCTTCCACGCTAACACACTCCCACATCCACACCTGTGGCCACACCACCGCACCAATGACCACACAAATCCACACAACCAGGCAATCGCCAGCAGCAGCAGCAGCAGCAGCAGCAGCACTCAGGTTCCCACCACGACTGAGAAAAAAGAAAACAGCAAAAAACCATGTCTCGACGCACAGTCTGACATTGTGCGCCCCAGATCGCTCAGTCAAACACATTGCGGGTGACCGAAAAAGACCTCAGGACCCTTCGTGAAGATCCATGGAGGGCTGAGGACGACCACGGAAACGGGGATGACGGTGTGCTTGTCCCTTTGAACAGTTCCATACAATTCCCACATGTTTTTCCCCAGAGTGGCAAGGGTTTTTGCTTGAGTATTTGGGGGTTTCCTAGCCCGGAGCCCTAGTGGGTCCAAGGATTTATTTGGTCTAGTTTTTTAGTACTTACTATATAGGGCTATAGCTAGGGCTACATATATCTAACTTCTAGTTAATATACCTGGAACTTGTTGAAGGTGCCCTTGCTGGAGACCGACAAAAGTAGGTTTCACAGCTTGATCCCTGTGCCTCTCCCCGGGCACCTGAATGCTACTTCCGGCCTCTGCGATGACCGGATGACTCCGGTATTGCGTGTCCAAAAGGAAGGGTGTCAGCCCTCCCGAGTCCACCATGCCTATCAAAGCAGGCGCAACCGGCGCGCGCGCACACGCGCAGCGCTCCAAGAAGCGTCTGCATGACTGCCACTGCATGACTCTTGGGGTGAGATGGGGTGAGAAAAGGTGAGACGAAATCTCCAAGGAAGCGATGTTCAAGTGGAGCGTCAAAGTCTTTCACCCTGGAGACCATGTGGTGCTTCTGCATGAGACTGTCCCCACTGACAGGAAACTGTCGAAGAAGACGCGAAAACCTCCAGGCGTGCATGTTCGAAAGCACCATGACCTGAAGGAGTTTCAGAATTTGAGAAGTCTTAAGAGCTTGAAGTATGCCACAAGCTTCCGTGCAAGAACAACAACCTCCAAAACCGCCAGGGCGACGACGATCTGCGGGACATGGGGCCTTTGGGAAGTCTTACATCCGCCTGTGGTTTTGCTAGCAACCTAGATCAACCTAGTAATCCTACCTACAGTAATAGGAACAAACCCGTGAGCCACTCTGAGAGCCCTATCTGCTCTACGTTGTCTTGTGATCACTTCCTTTCTTCGTTCCGCTGGATCGAAACACCAGCGAACAGTACATGCGGCGCAAACATCACCCCAAACACTCCATGGGACTGGTATACCGAACGAACCATCTAGAAGCTCTTCTTGGGCAAACATGTCTGCCTATTCTGGGTCAAGGATGGTAAAGGATGGTAAAGGTATATGCAATTATATGCCTATACATTGACCACCCTGGCACCACCTTAACTGATCGGCATGCTCTTTTTTTCCAAGAGACGAGAGTACAAGGACAGCGATAGCCCTCGCTCCTCAGCCTGGCGATGTGCAAGGCGCCGGAACGACCGGGACCTTCCTCACAAGAAAGAGTATCGAAGAGTTCTTGACAATCTAGGAGTCCACCTGAGTCTACCATAATATATAGGATATTAATTTAAAGGGCATTTTAAAGGACTATATCAATAAGCACACCCACTTTAAACAGGTTGTTGTGAATTCTAAATTCTATCTGCCCGCTCGCCCTGGCCCGGGAAAACCCCACCTCGGAGGACTGCACGGTGGGTGGCAGCTGACATTGGTCCCCTACCAGCACCAGCCGCTGGGAGCCGCGCAAGATCAGCGGCACGATGGCCGCCAACTCGGTGGCTTGCGCCGCCTCTGCGCGCGCCAGCAAACGCAAGCAAAGCGTGGGTACTGGTGGCCTTCATGAGCCCTTTCGAAGTGAAGGCGTGGTTTACAGAAGTTATGGGAAGTTTGTTGGTTTCAATGGGGCTTCTTTTTAGCTGCTAGAAGCTCATTCAAGGTCTGGAACTTCTGAAAATGATGGGTACACCATATACCCTGCTATCTTTTCTTTGAGGGTCGTCATCTTTCACACTTACGGTTGCTAATTATATTCAAGCTGCAACATGGCAAATATTCAACCAATCAAGTACCCCAACCCTAGGGCTACTTCCTTCGTACCTCCTCAGAAGTCTCCTCAGAAGGGGCTGATTGAACCATTTTGGACCCGCACATGGCCCCCGGCCCCCCCACCGTCCCACCGAACCGAAAGCGAAGGTACGACTGGAGGCCGGATGGATGGGCTTTGCTTCGAGCTGTCTCCGGATGGGTTTGGGGTGTCGAATCACCTTCTGAGTATACAGTTGGAGCCCTTCCAAGAGAGGTTCAGCGACCTTATAGGGCCCGTCACCTGGGGTACTTATGGGGATAGTCTATATAGGGTCCTTCAACCTGGGTTGGTTTGTTCTAAGGATCTTTGGCTCCCCACGTGGATCTTTGGCTCCCCATGTGGATCTTCGGCTCCCCAGTCCCACCGACACACAGAGGTGGCACGCGTGGCAGGGCACACGCCTCATCGATGAGGACCCCCGCGAAGGCGAACTTGGAAAAGAAGTCACCGCCTGTGCAACACCGGATGATGTGTTCTTGCTTCACGTCCAAGCTGATGGAACAAAACACGGTTTTCATCATCTTACAATTACAAGATGAAGGAATCCGAGTTAAACAGATTGAGGACACTTGCGCTCAGCAAGCTTTATCAAATAAGCCTTACAAGCCAAGTAGATGGAGTAGATGGCACACATCCGTTCAACATCGCCCAACCCCATTCAGCTTGTGATCTGCATCACATGAGATGCACCACGAGTGATGCCCAGGAGTCAAGAACATGAACAACCCCTAGGGCTCCAACCATATCCTCAGGTTCGGTGGTTAGACCCCCTTGGCACCCACCCCTGGCCCACCTTCGAAACGGAGGTGGGCCAGGAGCCCTAGGGAACATGGATCACCAACATCTTGTGCATCCGGAACCTTTGGAATTCGGAGCATCCCTATCCCACCAAACTGGTCCAGCTCACTCGCTGGGAAGCTCCTTGGGAGCACCACATCGTTGGTGTCTTGACCGGAATGGTTGGCACTCCCCGGAATGATCATGGAAGCTGGAACCGGCCTGTTGGGTTTTTCAGCTTGTGCCTCCAAATCCGGGCGGTCCATCCACGTGAGCCATTATGACTTACCCCTAAGGGTCCAGGACCATCCTGAGGATGTCCTTTGGCCCCAAAGACCATTCTCTGGAAGTACTTTCACCTCTAAGACCAGCCTCAGGAGGTACCTGGACCCTATGGGACAGTATACATATATATATATATATAACCCTTAGAGATCTTGGCAGTCATATGGCTCGGGTCCCTCGCTCGAGTCTGGCCAGGCCCACCCCGAAGGAGATGGTCGTGTGTCATGCCAAGGTGCCGGAGGAGATGGTGGTCGTGCAAATGACATCGGCGTCCTGATGGCTAAACACCATCAGGTTGCAGGTAGGAAAGAACATCATAATTTCCGCAGGTTTCGTTTCACAGACCATAAGGTTTCCACGGGTTAGGATCGTTAGGTCAAGGGTTCCACGAGTTTCCACTTGCGGCGGAAAACCCCCTTTCGACACCTGGAAAAAAATGCTGAGTGCCAAACATGCTGCCAAGGGAGGTCTTAAATGTTCCGCTCATTTGAAGACAGGGTTTTTGTCAACAAACATGCGTTGATGTTTACGTTAAAGATGTAAAAAAGAACGCCTTTGGTCAACACTTTGACCAAACACGTTCTCAACATCTGAAAGTCCTTCATCTCCAACTCCACTGGCGAAGGTACACATGATTGTTTCTTGGAAGCATGGTGCAAATGTGCACCCCTTGTTGCTGGTGCAATGTGCGCGGATTCGCATTGACTCAAGAATCACTCTCGTTCGTCTGTCACGTGCCCTTCAGAAAGCCACTGGAACTACTTCCAGCCACTCTGGCAGTGTGCCGTCTGAACAAACCAGAGGGGCAATGAACAGAATAAACCACTGGGAGGGTCCAGCAGGGAGAAAGCATGTGATTTTCAGGGACTTGTGATCCACCGGTGGCATGAAAGCAAAGCGGCAGCCGTGGGTCTGTAGCGACGCCCTTCAGGCTCCACCGAACGGGCTCGGCGTCCCGACCCTCCTGGCATACACAGCCTGTGCCCCTTCGCAGGTGCCGGTGCCTGTAAGATTCGCATCTGGAGCTCGAAGTCATTCTTCACGTTGCCCTTGCCCTTGCCTTTGCCCTTCCCCTCAGATGGAACAAAACCAGCTTGATCTGCAAGTCAACCAATGGGGCACATGAACATTTATAAACGTCCCGCCTTTTGGGTAGTTCAACAATTGCTATCTTGCAATGAGGCAAGTCTGTGGTGGAGAGGCAAGACAGTGGCACTCATCCACTTCGCCGATTTCTGCAGGATCTTGGACACAGCTCTTGTTAATCAATGGGGCATATATGCGGAAGACATGAGACCCGCCCTGTACCAATTTCCTTCAGTGAACTGAATTGCTGTCCTTTGCAACTACAGTGGCTTCAGCTTGTCCCTGCCCCGTCGTCGTCCGCAATCTGAGGCTGCCGCTTTTCTCGGAGCCGAATTCGACCTGCGAGCAACTCTGCTGATGTTGAGAGCTGTTCCCCACTGGGACTCAGAAAGGATCCGAATTCTCCAACATCCTTGGCTTATCTTCAAGGCCCGGGAAACCTAAAAGAAGGCCGAGTTCTTTCATGGAAATCTTGATGAAACTTGTGTAGCCGGCCCAAACTTACTCCCTCAAGGGAACTGTCATCTGAATGTTGATGTCTCAAAAGTCTTTGCTTAGAAGCTGTCATGATGGAAGTGTTCGGACTCGAAAACGTGCACTTCAGGCCCTCGAAACGGTCACTGACATGCATCACACAACATGCAAAAACACACATTCCTACACACTGCCGGTGCCTTTGCTAGCATTGCCAACTCAAGGAGACACGTCAGTGTCCACACATGAAAATAGTGGCTAAACCACTATGGACCATGGACCTCAAGTGGCTAAGAAGTGGCTCCCAATTAATTGAAGAGGTGTGTTTCAGTCCAGGAGCTCCTTAAAGCAACCCCAACCGGATCCCCATCCATCCCCCTTGTCCCTTCCTTCACCGCGTCGCGTCCCGGGTCCGCCTCGAGCGCGAGACCTTGCGCCGCTTGGGGCTGCCCGTCTTGGAGCGCGAGCGCGACTTGAAGCGCGCCTCGTACTGCCTTGGCCGCAGTCGAGAGAGGCCCGGTAGAGAGTGCCCGGTGGTTTGGGGAGATGGGGAATCTGCTTTCAGAGAGGTTGAGCAGCTGAAGAAAACCATCAGATGTACCACTACGGCGTTGTAGAAGGTCTCTCAACATCAATTGGAAAGGTGCAGTGAATTCGTTTATGGAGTAGTATAGTTAACAACCCTCGAGCGCTCTTGATGATCTGCATTCAACACATGGAAACGCCAGAATCGGCCGTCGCCGCACGGACTTCGAGAGTTCATCGACCTTCCTCCGCGCCGATGTCTGGACATCGACTTTCCTCCGGGCCGCCGGTTCTTCATTTCCTCCTTTTCCTTGTCCAGTAGACATTCCAACCTGGCAAGTCGAAAGTGCAGAGTGCAGGTTGGAAGGGAAGATGTCAAAGACAATTCATCTTCCCTATAGGGCTCCAGTGGTACCTCCTCAGAGTGTATGACTGCACCTTCTTAGAATGTACTTGGAGCCTTAGGGATTAGAAACAGTATATAATAGAACCATGGCCACACTGATCTTGACTCACTCATACTCATCATGGCTGAGCATTCAAAGATTTGTAGTGGCTGTGAAGGAAGAGGCGATGTGACCATTCCATACCTCTCATAAGCTGAACAACCAAAAGGCACCACAAGGATCCACGAAAACAAACGCATTTGACCTTTTCAACCACCTTTTTATTACTGATCTTCACAAACTGCATTAATGGTTCCTAAATATGTTACATATCTCTCTGTGGATCCGGGGTACGACCACCAGACTGGTCGTATCCCGTCACCAGCTCAGCTAAGCCACGTAATCTCCTCGAGGATTCGGTTGATCTTGTCGGGGCGACCCACGCGCACCTGAGGAAGGCGAACGAACATGTGCCGCAAAAGCCATGGGGATGTTTACGCCGGCATTATACTACTTCATCTATTGATTATTCTGTTTGTGTGTATTGTTTATTTGTGTTTTTCTTCTTCTTCTTCTGCTTCTTCTTCTTCTTCTTGTAACGACTGAGCCAAGCACTGCTCGAACGCCCTCCTTCCGCAAACCAATGGCAATGTTATCCACCGCCGGGTTACCTGAAGAGGATGCCCCGGGAGGTTTGGGCATTGGGCGTGGTGGATGACACTTGGCGCATTAAAATTCTGTGAAAACAGTTTTGGAGTGGTTCGATTGATGTTCCACACATTTGGGGTGGTTGTAGGCACACTGGCCCCCAGAACAAAACCTCAACATCATTCAACATCTATATATTGGGCTGGAAGAGATCTTTATGGTTTCATAACTTGCCCGGAACCCTTGGGTCTTGTGTAACACTAATCCCAAGCAAAAGAACTGTTAGAATACACATTATGCCCTCCCATGCAGGCTGTGAACCCCTTCAAGCAGCGACACGCTGTACATGAGGACATCTCAAGGTTCCTAACCAAATCGACAGAAAACCTCCCCCAAGCCACAGTTGATGCACATCCGGTACAACAAAACTTTGACAATGACATGGGAGAACCCAAAAGGAAGGCTTACATTGCACGCCAAGCCCGAAACTGAGTTCCCAACTTTTTGAAGCCACCCAAAACCGCCCCAGTCTCCCATCTTTTTCTGATTGAATGTTCACCCCATCCAAAATCCATCCAACACACCCCACCAGCCCTCCCCACCCGCACCCGGCCGTGAAACACTGCCGATGGAAAAAAACACGAAAACACCACATCAACGGACACTACCAACGGACCCACCGCGGCAAATCAACACGGTGTCCCGGTGTCTCCCGTTTTTCATCTAACCAATAACTCAACAGAAAGACGGACACACCAACACCGTGGCCAAAATAGAGACGGTGTTTCCCGGTCGTATACATCACACACCGGGTCACTGTCGGAGGTGGCCAATAACGGTGACAAGTCCAGAGTCTTGGACCACATCCTTGGTGCGACAGCCCGATCTGGGAGGCTGGGCGGTTTTTTTTGTCGCAATGTCTGGGAGTCTGGGCCGGGCCGGTGGGAGGTGGGGGAAGTAGCTGGAAGGTGTGTGTTTTTTTCAGGGATGGTCTGTGATTTGTGTTTCTATTTTTTGGCCGATTTCGTCACTATGAAGAGGTCCAAGTCTGCGACTTTGGCACGTTAAACCAGAATACGAAAAGTCGAATGGCAGCTCCACCCTCTCCACATCAGCGTTTCTCCCGTCTCGTCTCCCTCCAACGTGGGCCGGTCCGAGCGGATAGCACCGTTGGTTTTGGTGCGAAGGGCGTCCACCAGCTGATGGTGATCTTGTTGGACGTTGTTTTATGTTGTTTTCCTACCAAGCTAGGGCTCCAGTCGTGCCTCAGGGAACCGGTATGACTGGACCCTCAAAGGCTCTAAAGCCAGCCCAGCCCCAGCTTCGAAACGAAGGTACTCGGAGCCCTAGCCTAGGGAAGGTCTTAAACGTCAATAATCGTTGAAGATTGAATCTGTGTGAGGAAGGGAACCACAGGCTGGCCGATACTGGCCCTATGCATCCCTATGCCACCAACTTCCTAAGCGCATCTGTGCATTTCCTCCGCCGACTGGGAGAAGAATCGCAACAAGCCTCCACCAGACTATATTAATTTTAACGTCTTCTGGGGGCATCAAGTGCAGTCTAGTCTCATCTTTTCTGCCCCTTCCATATCCTTCTTCTAGTAACATATATTAGATATAGTAGTGAGTCTTGTTTGCCTCTGAATAGGATCAACACCTGGCACGGCATGCTGCAGCGAGCTCACTATGATTCACCCCTACGTCCCTCACAGCGGCCACTGCTTTTTCCAAGGATCTTCATGATCTGCACACTGACCTCGGCTCAGTGAATGCCCTTACCCCGGGTAGATGGGTAGATGTTCCATGCTCTTTGTAAGTTTCACTGGGAAGGAATGGATGCACTCCCAGCGCTGTGCAAGGCAGAAAGGGCCCAGTACTTGATCAAGTCTTCACCGGAACCATGTCTGATGACCAAAAGGGCTCAATCAAAGCCTTCCAACATGCCATTGGCATCGTTTTGGAGAACTGTCCCAGTGGCCCCTAAAAACGTCAACTGACCCTTCAGAGGCACCCCTGCCGAGCCGCATGCGTCTTTCCAGTGCCTGGAGGACCCTGGATGACGGTGCAAGTGGTCCTCAACGCCGAGCGCCTGGGCGGCTCGCCCCTTGGGCTCGTGGTGAGACGGTAGTGGTGAGACCAGGTCGTGGGGTGAGGGGGGTCGGAAGTTCTGGGGGCTTCGTGGAGTGAATGGGCTTGGATGGTTTGTTCACCACCTCTGGGCGTCAAGGATTGCCGGGCGACTTGTCCAGGAGACGACTACTCGAGCCTTCCACGACTACTGATGATGGAAGTGGAAGTGAAACACAAGGATGAAGCGATTTTCACCTATAGTGTTGTTGCAGTCCCGCCCCTGCAGGGGAGCTAATTTGGTCATGGGCTTGTCATCGATTCATTTAGAGGACCAGAAACACTACCAGAAACCACTTCATGTTGGCCAAGAGTAGACCTAAGTAATTAACTACCAGGTTGGCTGTGTCGGCGCACTTCTAGGCAGGTCCTTGATTGAAGGCGATCATCCACTCACTTCCAGATGTCCGTCTCCTGCATCCCCCCCATCCCCGCCGCTGACCCGATGTGCCGCGATCGGGGCGCACAGCATCGCGCTGCGAGGTGTTCAAATGTGATAAGGTCTTCACCTCCTTGAGGGCGTTGTCCTGGCGGTCCAAGAGCGTGGGAGGAAGGAGTTGCACACCAGGAAGAAGACCCAGAAGACCCATAGGGTTGGAAGGATATAAGTCTGAGTCTGAGGGTCTGAGTTTGAAGGTTCTCAGACTGGTGACTAGTTGTGTTGGTCTACGCCTACGCCGGTGTGCGTGATGCAGCAAAACTCGTGGGGAAGTGAGTGGGCAAGTAGACCCTTGACCTTGCACACAATCGTTGATTGAAGATGGTGAGTCGCCCCCCAAAAAGAATCTTACAAATATAGATATATTAAACTTTGTTTTTTTTTTGTCATAGTCATAGTCATAGTCATAGTGTTGTATATGCTTTCCGGAAAAGAACCTCCATGTGCCAAACACACACAAATTGAACCCATCAGATCTCCCATTTTTCTCCCCTAATTAGCCCTATGGATCGCCGACGAAGGCCTCCCACTCTGAAATCTGGGGCGTTTTCCGTGGCGCAAGTTCCACCGGCTGAGCTGCCCCAACCAGCTTGTCGGAGGAGGCACCACCCGGATTCAGGCGCGCCAGCTTGGCCGCCTACGACCGGCCGAGGATACCACCCAAAGTTTTGCCGGAGTTCAGGCGCTGAAAATGGACACCCGGACCATGACTTGAGGTGGGAAATCCACACAAATATTTCACTGGCCATCCATCATTGTCTTGTCGGAGAACATCCCTTCAAAAAAGACTCTGAAGCAGGTCATTTCGCCCTTGGATCTTTCTCGCAATCCTCGGCTTGTTGGGAAGTATTGGAAGCTTCACGCAGGTTTCACGTTCAGTGCGCCACCAGGACACTCGTCGACACGGTTCCCATTCGTGTGCACACAGGTGGATGCCGCACACCAAACGTTCTACCAGCACAGGTCAACCCGATTGGAATTTAGCACTCAGTACTCAAAGGGACTGCAACCTCAAATGGTCAAAAAACACGTGCATTCAGAAATCTCCAAAGTCAAGCGCATTGTTTTTGTTGTCCAATGAAGATGCAGGTACAAAATTATAACTCTGGAACAGCTTCATGAGGATCCCTGAAGTACACGTCAAAGCTCAGGAAAAGTTACTTTCCCATCTAAGAAAACAGTGCCTGAGTATCAGGCCCTTGCAATTATATATTAGAAACCACCAATCTCCAATGCAGGTGAAAGGGCAGCGTCCCGTCTCCACCAGCCCCTCCCACATGGCACGCCGTTTTTTCGGCACATCTCTGCGGCCCGGCGCCGGTGAACACAGCGTGGCTGGGATCCTTGGCTTCGACCTCCAGGAGGGGTCCGGCCACTGGCGCAGGAGACGTGGCCGGCATGCCATAGGCAGAAATAGGTAGGACATGGCATGTGCCGACATGGCGCGAAGTCCTCGCCCCAAATCCTCAAAACGACAGTGTGATACCCCATGTGTCCAAATGATTTGCAGCCAGCGCCGGAGGTCGGAGCTCCCAGTAGCTTGGACCTGGCGTGGCTGGACGACATGTCACCGTCTGGTTTGCTTCTGTTTTCTCAAGTCCTGTGTCCTTCAAAAGAAAAAAGTGAACATCTTGAACTCCGACGTTGGAAACTTAAAATACTTTAACACATTACTGCAATCTACTTATTATCTTGTACTATAAAACATATATACTTAAAATACTACTATCTTTGCACTATTAAAAAGCACATGCTCTAGATATGGTTACCATTAGCACAAAAAACATTAGAGACCAAGGCTGGCCTTGACCAGATTCTTCACTCGCTTCCACCTGATTTCGGCTCAACACCGCGCGTCGCACCAGCGCGGCGCCAAAAGGCGCGCTCCTCACTCCGTTGCTCTTCGCCTCGGTTACTTCGAATCATTCAGCTGATTTCAGCTGGTCGAAAGCACCGTCTAGTCTGTCATCGAGTTCGCTCGAGTTGGGATGCCTAATTCTATTCAGCTGCCGTTTGCAGGGTTTCCAAGCAGGTTGCGTTATATACTGTATATATCGCTGCTTTTCCCCCCCCTCTGATAGCCGAAAGCGGTTCTTACTTCTCAATGACTGGGTGGCTAATCAGCGTTTTGATCCATTGCTGCCACTGCTGCCTTGTCTCCTTACATGTCTCCTCATGTCTCTCCCCACTTGTTTACCTGTGTGATGGGCGTGTTGTTTGCTGGCACTGCCTTGTCTCCCAATTGACTCCTCTCCTTGTTTGCATGTCTCCTCACTTGTTTGCCGGTCAACATTGGCGTTTGGTTGGGCCCACTCACAGATCTCACAGTCACCGCAAGCGAAACACATGGATTCTTTGGTCTTAACGAGACCATCACATCCCTTCACGTTCCTTCATGTATAGATCTATGCAAGTTTTCAAAGAACACTTCATTTGAAGCAATGCATGGTCCGTCCTACCCAAGCACCGCCGCCGCATGGCGCATTGGTTCTCGGGACTTTTGCCCAGGCACTCAACTTCAGCCCCAAGTGTGCGAAGATCAGCCTCCAGTCGTGCGAAGATCCCCCGGCAGCCCTAGACCAACTGGGCGAAAAAAGTCTAAATCAATCCTCTTTTTGCAAACAGGAGTGTTCCTGGGAGATGTGGAAAGTACGTATTGAATTCGGAAGGACAGGGAATGGCACCCATATAAATATAACCATCGACCCAAGAGGGTGACTGTCAGGCCTGTCAGGATCTGTCAGGCCCACCTGTCGAACCCCTGACCTGCGAACGAAAACACGTCCCAAAGGAACGAGCCCATCGACCTACACAGCCCTGGCTCCTGGGTGCCATACGCACCACCAGACCGACGAAAAATCCTTGAAGCTCTGGTCACTGGCTTGGTCGCTTGGTGGACTGGTTGGGCTCCAGGTGGGACCCTACCAACCCTGCTAAACGCACCACCGCAGCACCCCGCCCATCACCGCAGCACGGCGCCCACCTCCGTGCCACGACGGCCGTGTGCTCGGGCCGCTCGCCGTCGCTCGCGGCTGGGACGTCCGGAGACGTCACAGGCGAAGGGGGTGCCTCCGTGGAAGCCTGGAGCTGTTTGTCTCCCGAGGGGTCAAACACCCCGTGTTGATGGGAAAAGGATTGGAAAAAGGACATATTTGGGGATGGTTGGGCAGTCCAAGATGGGGGTAACTCACACTCTAGGATTGTACTGGCCAAATGGTCGTGCTTAAGCATTGTACCCAACTTGTATAAGCGAATGGCGCAAAATTTCCGAGGTTCCAGTTGCCCCCCCACGTCTTACCGACTTACAAACCACTTCATGGAACAAAAATTCCAGGTCTCGACTTCAAACAGTTGGAAAGCGACTCTCTCGCTCTCTCTCCATCAGATTGGCAACTTGGTCTGATACAACTAGGTAACTTAGGACTATCTAAAGACCGTCAAATTCTCAGGCTCTGTCAGAACCGAATTTAAACATGCTCAGTGAGCCTCAGGGAGAGCCAGCTCCTCGGTGTCCTTTCTCGCTGAGGATCTGCACCGCTGCTCTGCCTTAGGCTCGCGCCAGTTGCACATCAGAGTTTCTCCAAAGCACCAAGCAGGAGTAGCTGGAGAAGCTGAGGAGTTGATACTCAAGCCAAAATACCGAAAAAAGACAGCATTCCAGAGATTCTATAGAATCTTCATAAAAGCACATCACTTTAAAAAGTTAACTAACAAAAACAACTATTCTTCAGGACCAAACACGTCATTCCGCTCATGCTCGCTGTCCTCCTCCTTCCGCCGCCGCCCCAAAAGCGCGAACGCGGCGAGCCCCGCCGCCGCGAGCCCCGCGAGACCGGCCAAGCGGAGGCACCGCGGCGCTGCCATTCGCGGCGCTGCCAGCGAAGCACCACCAATGACATGAAGACCGCGACGGCGGACTTTCCGAGGGGAACAATACGAACGCCCGTCACTGGAAGATGTACGGTTTGCTTTAGGCCGTTTTAAGGAACAAATGGCGACACCTGTGAAATCTTGTTGACAATGATAACGATGGAGGTCATGTTTGCACCTGGCTCGTTTCCGCCTAAATGTCTGGTGAGTGGTCCGCTCTGAATGTCTGGTGACTGGAGGCTTGTTAGTGCATGATTCGAACAAAGGGCAAGTTGCTATCGCCCAAAGTTTCGCTCCCAAGACGAGCTAGCCAGCCATAAGCTTGAGCACATTGCCATCCGGCTCTAAATAGATGGATCACAGATAGATCGAGCGCCTTGAGGGCACTCCAAACACAAGGAGCCCAAAGCATCCCAAAACACCAATGCTATTGAGGGTTTGGACACTGCATAGCAGGGGTTTGGACTCTGAAAACCTTCAGCTTCAAGGGCCCTTGATTCTTACGACTGCAACATGCTGCCAAGAAGCTCATCCCCCGAACTTTCTCCCTACGCGCTTGGGCGCAGTAGATCGCGGTAGCGCAAGCGCACGAGCTAGCCAGGTCAGGCTGCGTGGGGACTCTGCGCCCGAACCCCGCAGACCGCGCCTCCTTCTCTCGGATCACGTCCTTCTCAGCTTGCTCAGCTGCCTGGCACGAAGCACCAGACGTGCGCGGCGAAGCGTGCACTTCGGATTCAGTCACCCTGGTCACTCACCCTGACCTCAAAAAAAGAGTTTTCAATGAGGAGGACAGGATTGGAAACCGTTGAAGACATCCCTAAGATCGCTGGACAGAAAATCTCTTAAAATTAAATTACCCGCATCTTTCCAGCTCATACATAGAATTGACCATGCAATATATACTTGGTTGTGATGCGAAAGTACTAGATGAGCTTTGATAGCAAATTGCTCAAACTGGGTCATGTTCCTGTACGTAGTACAGCTGAGGTCTCAAACCCCACGAGCAGTAGTGCTGTAGTGCTGATTGACCAAAATAGAACCTGTACGTTATATAAATACCATATTATGAATTTTGCTGTTCTATCGTTCTATCCATGTTGGCGTCACTACATGCATACGCAACTGTACATTTCCTAAAGTTTCCTGTTACTTGTGATGTGTGTGCTGGTTGGTTCAATTTCAAGATGAAACTCATGACAATTTTTGGATCCTCACCTCCATCATCCTCACACGTTTCATCTGACTCTGACTGGGCAAAACCCACCTTGGCAGCCAGCTCCTTGTCCTCATCAGTCACCTGAGGATGAGTCCGTGAGGATCCAATAGGCGCCCCATCGAAAAACAACTCAACAAACCATCGAAAGCCATGGCCTGGCGGCAGTCCTTCCCCTTATTCAATTGGAAAATCCTTGAAACAAGTCCTACCCTAACCCTGTATAGCAGGGGTTTGGACTCTGAAAAGCTTTGTCTTCGAGGGTCCTTGATTCTTAGGTAAACAATTTTAAACATTGGACATGTTGTGCCTGGTTTCTTCTTCTGTCGATGCCTTGGCGGAGACTGCACCTGGGAACTTGGAGCCGCGACCAATGCCAAGGGTTCCCCCCACCAAACATGCCAAGGGTGTGCTTCCGCAGTTTCAGTCCGCTGTGCAATCTTCAGTTCGGAACTGACCTGGTCAGGCCTCCGTTTCGTCCTTCAAATAATCACTTGCAAAATCTTGCAAAGCAGGTTGCTTTAAGAACCCACCTATAAGGTACATCAGTCACGAAACCGCCTGCCTGAAAAGCAGACGCCCTACAAGTATTCAGACGAGCCCTGCTCCACGCATCAGCCGCTCGCTCAGGTCAAGGCACGCCTTGCCCCTTCCGCCACTGCTTGGCCCAGGAATCGGCTAAGCCCACCTTCGCTGAGATGAGCAACTCAGGCCTTGGAGCCCGAAGCACCGGTCGACCCACGTGCATACAAGATGCGGTGGGCAAGGTGAGTGGGAAGACTAAAGCTTTTTCAAAGCAAAAGCAAAAGCAGGTCGTCACATTGAGTCACATTGAGATATCTTGAGACGTATACACCAAGAAGACAAATGAAATCGTTGATTCCAAAACATGGACGCCATCTCATGATTGTGCAGCTCTGATTATTGCACTCCCCCGCGCAACCAAATATGTGCTTCCCGTCCGGACCTGACCATGAAATCCATGAACGCGTGGACATTGTGAAAGCATGTGGAAGTCATGTTTTCGAGCTGGGCCCAAGCACTGCATAGCACTTATACAGCCCGACTCACAAACATGGAAGTGGAAAATGGTCCCCAGGAGAAAACCCATTCTTTACAAACAGGTTGGTTTTCCACTTCCATGTCTGTGGGTGCTCTGAAAAACAAACACCTTAGGGCTTAGGTTTGAAGGCGTTCTTTTCCTGACAGCTCACCTGCTGCCTGCCCTGAGTCTTTTCACCATCTTTCACCCGTTGATTTGCACGCAAAGCTGCCCCCCCCTCCCCATCAGGGCCCCGGGCACGCGTGAGCGGTCCTGCCAACAAATCCAATCCCAAAGTCCGGAAGTCTTCATGTCTTAGTAGAAGTCTGACTCAGTCCAGTTCTCCAAAAATCATCTGGTTTTCTTTCGTGTTTTCTATGCTTCGCAAATTGACACCGCATAACCTTCAGCGTGGTAAGAAAACATCCACTGCGCAGGGGCGGCCCTCGTTGGACGCTCCAAGGACATTCCAACCTATGAGAGGCCACACCACTAGGCCACACCCCTGCAGTGGGCATACATTTGGGGTGGTTGAAAAGGCAACCTACATTCCATGGACTTCCAATCGCACTTGAGTGTCTGGACTTGTTCAGTTCGGTCCTTGTTCACCAGGTTCAACATCGCCTGCAACTGTCGCTCGTAGAGCGTGCTGTTCGCGCCCTTATCGATGCGCCAGCGCCGGGACCTGCACCGGTCTCGGGACGTGTGACGGAAGCGGAGTACTCTGCACGTCATTCACGAAGGAAGCGGAGTACACTACCTGTTTTGGTATTCAACACATTGTCTTTCAGGGGGCCTATATATTGGGCCTATGTTCCACTTCCATCATGATTTAAGAGAGCCTACACTCTGACTTGGAAGGGGACAACGGGCCCCTGGAAGACCAAGTGCTGTGTCGGAGGGTAAGTGCTGAGGGAAGCCCCCCCACTGACCAAGGGCAATTATGGAAGTCTATCGATACCTCCACTGCACTGACGCAGCCTCGCTCCTTCCGAACCACCAGCTAGACAGAATCCCCCCCCCAAAAAACAAAACACATAGTCCCTAGCGATCCAGTCGTACCTTCTCAGGTACGGTGATTGGAGACTATTTATGTAGGCGCCAGGAGGGCCCAGTCGTACCTTCTGTGAAGGTACAACTCGATCCCTAGGGTGTATTTAAATTAGATGCACCTGAAAGCAAACTTCCTCTATTTCGCTCAGCAAACTAGTCCTTTCAACTTCAGGGTTAATGGCATGCACACTTTGAAAAGGCATGTTGGTCCTTTTAGCCCAAGTCCGGTCGAAAATGATGGTCCTATAACTATATTAGTATATTTTGTTGGTACCTTTGACAGATTGAACCACCTTTAGTAAAATCATCGGCCAAGTTCCCACAAGAAAAACACTCCCCCCAAATTGCCTTCCGGGTTGGCGTGTACAACGAAGCAAGACTGACCAAACAGGAATTCCACCGCTATTGATGCACCAAACCTATTCGCTCTAAATTCCGCCAAATACTGTGGAGTATACAGTATACAGGATGGCTTGTGAGCTAGCCACCACCTTGGCTTCAGATGGGAGTGCTCGCATGTGCACAAGTTACAACATGGGCTGTCCAATTTGCTCTGTTGTTGATGGGCTAATGTGCGTAATACATGTTGATTCTTCCGGAGCCAAACGGGGCACTGCAAACGTTCGCATGGCTTCGCCACGGATTGTCAAGGCACATAGCATCATCAGGCCAGCAGCCACGCAAACCTAGAGAAGCTTGGCCAACGGTTCGACCTTCGAACTACCCGATGTTCCTCTTTCTTTGGTGCACTTCTCTCCCCTAAAGGACAGGTTAGTTTGCTAAGGTGGAGTTTCAAACCTTCAGCCTGAGTTGAATCCAATAGCGGATAACATGGAGGATGATTTGATGAGCTGTGCACGAGCACTCTAAGCCCAAGCTCTAAGCGTTGGCGTGTGAGAGAAACAACTGCAAGTCGAGTCCAACACAATTGGAAATCGTTCTGACCAGAATCAGAAACACGTGACCAAAGCTACTCAAACAACTAGTGTATCCAATATGTTCCAAACAGCAAACATATGTGCAGCGGCATTTGATTGATATTAATAAACAAAAGATACACTATAATCCATTATGTGGGAGCCCTATCTCATAAAAGTGGTTGCTCATTTATCCCAAACACTCCATGGGGTCAATGTAGGCATATACATACATGGAGTGTCTGGGTGTTGTGGAGATGGTTGCACCGTGGCGCATTCTGCCGACCCCCACCGACCCATCAATTCATCACCAAGTCACGGATGATCATCTTGCTTTCGCCATCCCGTCCACGGGGCAACCTCATCCACTTGGGGTGCCGGGAGACAAGACGACCGGCACCCCGAGGAGAAGGTGAGGGGGGGTCCCCAACATGAACTTGGAGGCTGGGACTTTGGCAGGAAAGGTGAACGCTATACCTGGAATCTCGCAAAACTTCTATATTGGGAGTATCAAGCATCCAACATATGGCCTCTTTCATCTGGTGCCCATCAAAGTAGAGCCACCATGTTTTCTTGGGGTGTGCTTAACGGATTCTCAGCCCCCTCCAAAACAATGCAAACACATGCAAACAGTCCAGTAGGACTGGAAGAGTTTCTCAACGATCTGCCGGGGTCGCTTCTGGAGTTGCACAGTCGCCCAGGCCACCGGATGGCCAGTTGGAGTGGATTTGTCAATGGGGATGGCAAAGTTCACATGCCCCGGGAAGGGCAATAACAATCATGAGCAATGAGAACCCTTGAGAAACTACATCTTAAATGTTGGATGAACACTGGCCTTGGAGTCTTCCTGGCAGTGTGGGTCAACAAGCTTTTGAGTTCATCTGCAGTTCAAACGCTGGCGCCCTCGGACGTTTCCACAACAGGCATGGCCGCCCTGCCTCGGCACCGAAAGCCGTTTCACACACGACACACAAACACGCACGCACGCGTGCGCGGGTGTGTGTGTGTGTGTTTTCTCTGGAGGGCTAGTGGCTGGATGTCGGCGATGAAGCCCTCACCCAGCTTTTCTAAGGCTTCGCCCTTCACGCGCACCTGCTGTCGGGACTCACCTGGAGGAGATGCGGCGGAATGGCACGTGGAGGAGCGAGGACGAAAGGTGTGTGCAACATGCGGGAAAGGAAAACCAACTAGATCATTGAAAACCTGTATTTTGTTGCTCACACGCACTGGAAATGGAACCCTATCATAAGATCGCTCGCATGCTCTTAAAATGGAACCCTATCATAAGATCGCTCGCATGCTCTGAAAAAGGAACCCTATCATAAGATCGCTCACATGTTCTTAAAAGGAACCCTATCATAAGATCGCTCACATGTTCTTAAAATGGAACCCTATCATAAGAGCTCACATGTTCTTAAAATGGAACCCTATCATAAGATTGCTCACATGCTCTGAAAATGGAACCCTATCATAAGATTGCTCGCATGCTCTTAAAATAGAACCTTATCATAAGATCGCTCGCATGCTCTTAAAATTGAGCTTTACCATATACAATACCCAAACATTCCATGTATATATGCCTACATTGGGGTGGTTTAATGGGTCAATGTAGGCACACACACACATATATATATATATATACACCATACATGGAGTGTCTGGGAAAATAGGATCCGATACCATCATCTAAGATCAGTCATCCACCACTTCCACCGCTTCTTCACACGTCCGTGGGGCTGATGATCACGGAGTCGCCGCGCTTGAACTTCAGTCGGTCGAACCTGAGGCGGTCGGACGGAACAGCCGAAGGAACTGCACTCCCTCAAGCTGAAGTGGATGGCATGGCACCAGGAGGTTGCCTTCCACTACTTCCATATGTGAGTGCCCAGGGAGTGTAGTTCTTTCGGCCCTTCTTGGGCTGCTTTCGTACAACTCCTTGTTGTGCATCAGTCCGGAAAACCTACAATCCACTACAACCAACCTCTGGTGCGTCCTTGTGTTTTCAAAGACACCTTGAAAACACCCGTCTAACCCCCCCTAAAACAAATCAACCGTGGGATTGTATCCTGTCTCATGCAGCCTTTGGAGTGCAAATGGTCCTAAAGAAACCCACAGGTTGTTCCATGTCAGGGACTGTCCATTGACCTTAGAACTGCTGAGACTCCTCCAACACCCCGAAACTATTATTGTTTGTCCTCACGACCAAACCCCTAACCTCCTTGCTAAGTGCTTTCGCCAATTTCTACAACGAACTCATCTGGGTCCTGTCCATCTTTCGGCCCACCTTGGAGAAAAGGTCCAGTCGTGCTCCTTTTCGATTCACTGAATCAAACCGATTGAGACCCCGTACTTCAGACTTCTGCGGCGTACCTGTACTTCCCTCACGCCGCTGTTCACCGTAGAGTCGTGTGACATGTTTCCATGGTAATGAAGTGGATTTGTATTGTAAGCTTGGTAGTGCATCCGTACAGTAGTTGGATTTATTATGATTTATTTGTTTTGTATGTAGGTGGCCCAATCGCCAACTACAATACAGTGACCATTTATCCGTTACTCCTTCCTCTCCCAGTAAGGGTTCTCTTCGCAAAATTGACACCCATTCCCTCAAACATCCTCAGACTCCTTCGTGCGGTGCCTCACGTGCCGTGCGAACTGCCACCCGTTCTGCGAGGCACTGCGTGTTGGGTGGAAGCTGTAAGGTGCCCATCTCACTGCCGGGGTCTTCCCAGCCTCGAAGAAGCAGAAGGGAACGGAAAACACATGAGCCACGAAATGAGAATCCTAACGGCGATTCTAATTCTAAGGCATCCCAAGAAATGCCCGTTTGGGCTCCAGACCCTCCTGGCATCCACCCCAGTCCCACCTTCTTAGAAGGTACTAGGAGCCACAAAAATGAGAAACCATTTCTGAGGGAAAGGACCAAACTAACGACCGTTCGTTTAATTCCAGAACTTGTGCTGTTAGCTGGATGTGGTGCAGTTCTTCATCACCAAGCCTGATGTGAAGAGAGACGAGCGACAATCGCCAATCGCCGCAGACTCAGAAATTCCGCACCAACGGGTGACAAGCGTGGTGACCCGGTTGACCAAGGTGCCGATGATGGTATTTTTCTTTGGGTCGCGACGACCAAAAATGCCAATACCTGCCGCGCTGCGCGGAGCGCCGGCAGGGAGCGAACCCGGAGCCACGGATGGGCCATCAAGGTGCATACTTGGACGGCCCTGGATTGCATCATGCTTTCATTTCATGCTTTACATGCAGAATGCAGCGCAGGCCTACTAGATGTTGGATGATTTTGGAGCGTCACCCATGAATCAAGCTGTTTTGGCAAATAACTCGAAGTAGGCATCAATCGATGGGAATTCCGCCCTCCCAGTCGCCTGAAAAAGAAAAGCGGGGTAAGTCAAACATTTTGCTGTAAGGAACTTCTAAAACTAGAACAAACCAATGTCTCCTATCCTTGAGGTTTGAATTATACATAAGAACTTCTAACTTCCAACTCACCCGCTTTGAGTCAAGGCCACTCGTGAGATGCCCCAACTCTCCCGGGCTGTAGTGGGTAGGGATTTGATCTTTGCAGATCTTGTGATTGCTTCGGCACTCAAACATCCCTAGTCTCCTCTTCCAAGATCCTTCAACCCTAATACACCTGAATGTTCCTCTCCAGTCTCAGTCTCAGTGTGGAGTCTCAGTCAAACTTCGTAACATCATCTCATTCGTCCTCACTAATAAATCCAACAAGCATCACGTTCCATCTCAATTACCCAAACGCTCCATGTATGGAATATATGCCGATCAGTTGGGGTGGTTTGGGGGGTCAATGTAGGCACTATATAGCATACACGGAGTGTATGGGTTACACTAGTAATAGCAAAAAAACGGCCCGACCGAGTCTCAATCCGCACCTCCCTCTTCGCTTCCCACTAGCTTCCCGGCCCGACCATCGCCGTGTTTCCTGTCCCCTCGCCAGGTCACAGGGCAATCCATCCAACGTCCATCCCAAGCGCTGTAGCTCAGCGTCCTGCATCGTCTCCGTGCGCCGCCTGCGAACATGGCCCGTGCTGCCAAGGACAAGCCATAGATGATGTGAGGTCGACCCCGCCAGGCGGGTCTTCATGTCAAGCTTCGCCAAGCCCAAACACGCGCGAACTGACATGTAGTATAACCCTAACATGGGCCGAGCCACTACCGGACTTGAAAAAAGGTCGCGCTAACGAAATATAACGAACATCTAAACACACAAAAACACACCCTAAAGCAACACCCCCACCCAAAGGACAAAAACACATGGGATCCAAACCTTAAGATCAAAGAGGTCGCACCATCCAGAAGGTCGCCTGTTTGGATTACCCACATGCTCACAACTATACTCGTTGAGATCCATCGGGGAAGGGAACAGCGGATGGTGGGGTCAGCTATTAGGCTTATTCACCCAAGCGCGACCAATGGGACTGCCAGTCCGGACTGCCGATCAGGCCAGGGGTGGTGCCAGGGGGGGCCAATGTATATGGCATACATGGAGCGTCTGGGTAAGCAAGTCAAGGTGTTTGGTCGCGATTTCTGCTAGGCTGCTAGGTGAGATTGGTGTAACTTGAGCGACGGCGACACTTTGCACTCCCTCGTTTGCTTTTGCTGGGGACATAGGTGTGCTGAATTCAGTCTGCGTTTTGGGAAACCCGCGCCACGAACTTCAGACTTGACTGAGTCCAGCATGGGCGGCATAGAAGGGTGGCATAGAAGTGGAAAACACCGCTGTTAGAAGAGGAAACTGGTCATCGAACTCGGGGAGGTGGTCTTCTATGCTTATTGATGCAGCAGGCGTCACTTGCAGAGAAACTGGGATCCAAACATGTTGATCTGTGACCTCCGTCCACTATGGAGGCGCTGGGATCCATGTGCCTGGGAGGCGCCTCGAATCGGCCATGTGACCACAGAATTGGTTTGTGGAACAACCTCCAGCAAAATGCATGCAGTATAGGTTGGTGACAAACATGGTTTCCTGTAGATGTTTCCTTCAATCAATTCTGGGAATGCAAGGTTGCAGTTGCACCTGTACTTCCAAAACATCCAGATTCTGCCTCGAAACACAGCTCACGCGGTCGCACCAAGCGACTTTCAATTGACGCATCAAACAAGAGCCCTGCCTTGTTTTTGATGATGGAACTTGCCAATACCTATACCCATATGTCTTGGGCCATCCAGCTGCTAAACTGTGGAGCATCCAATCGCTACATCGAGCTCACTTGCTACGGCCCGGCCGGACGGTTCCATGGCCGCACCGGGGACACCTGGCATGAGCATGCCCGGTGTCCCGCCTGATCTGACGAAGTTCTTCCATATGCTCCAGGTGCATGAGCATGCCTCAGAATGCCAGGCGCGAGAGTATGCGAAAAATCATGGAATTTGCTCAGAGCTCAAGTCGTCGCCTTGGAACTTCACGTCTTTCCCAAGAACTTCCGTGATACCAGCCCGGCTGGTATCCAGTATATAGGAATGATCATCAATGATCATTCAGCGATGATGAGGCAACTGAGCCACTCCATAACCGAAAACAATCGGAGGTGGACTGGGAGGTTGACGTTCGAGACCAAAATGCCTTCAACATGTTCATGAAGGTGAAAGGACCAATTCCAGAGAAAAGAAAGGGAAACCAAAATAAAGGGAAACCAAACAGCACCTGTCTGGCGAATCTGAAGCATCGCAATGCCAATATGTGTTCAGCTCTTGAATTGTCAGGGCCTGCTGTGTCTCCCAGTCCTGGGCCAACATGTTTTTTCATCCTTCCAATTGGGTACCCGACATTGAAAACCACAGCAAAGGGAAAAGTATAACTTTGAGTCTCAACATTCAATTGGCAAATTAGGATCCCAACAACGCGTATCCAAACTACGTGTCGTTTCACTTCTTGCTGGATAGGGCCCCCCCAAAAAGGTAAAGCTCACCCAGAGGCAAACCATCGCAAACACCTACGAGCTAAGCCTGCCTCTTCCACCCACCCTGCCTCTTCCTTGTTCCTTCCGATCCGCACGAACCAAAAACGAACACCTTCGACCTACCGACGCAAGCTGTTCTTCTTCGCCCCAGCGGCAGAAGTGACCAAAGTACTCGGACGACATGACGTTCCTGGGCCGGACCCCTCAGTGCCCCGAAAAGAGGTCCAGTCTAAGCAGTCGGACTGCTCCGTGGTCCACCTCCGTGGAGTAGCGGTTGGTGTTTGGTTTCCTTTGGTTTCCCCCATCAACTACTCCAGTAACATCATTTATGACCTGTAGGATCCTGTAGGATCCAGTAACATCTACTAGTCAATTATGTAAAAATGAGGTCAGTTTCTGACCTGTAGGATCCTGTAGGGAGTGCTTGGAGCGGGAAAATTCACAGGATAAGAGGCCTCTCACGCGCACGGCGCACGGCTGGAAAAAAGCGGGGGGGAGGGTTAGGGGGTTCTCTCTCTCTCTCTCTCTGTCTTTCTAATTGATTGCAGGTGATGATCAGTGTCATGTGCATGGAAATAATTAGTGGATGGGTGATGTTGGGTCTACATCTTGCACATGAAGCACTAAATATATAGTCGTTCTGACTGGACGCTAACCTTTGAAAGGAAGCCTTCCTTCTTCGATTCTTCTTCTTCTTCTTTTTTGCCTATTCCTCTACTTCATCCTACTTACCCCATCCACATCCCCACAGCTCGCTCGAAACAGTGTGCCCAAACCCCGGCAACCTCTCCTTCTTCCACGAACCGAATGCAATCGCCCCCGTCCGGTGCCATTCCGCCGCGGTGCTTGTCTGGGGTCAGCAGCCGACCCTTGAGCCTATTGCCATCCAACTGCTCCAAGGACCGTGCTCCCTGACAGCGAGACACCGTCCGAAAGGGCGCTGGAGGTAACTTCGGAATCCGAAGGTAGTGGAAGGAGTCAGGTCAGCCAGGGAATGCGAGTCTTAGTCAGCCAGCTGCTCCACATTTTTTGTGGGGTTCTGGTGTGGTTTGGACCCTTGGCTTCTTGATTGGAAAAGGCGTTTTAGATCTCATGACCTCGAAAATCGACATGTTTCGAACAGGCATGGGTGAGAAACCCTGCTGCCATGTTTCGAGGGCGAGTTCAAAAGCAATCATGTGAACATGTTAGGGGCTGCTCGGTTCTTCGGGACTGAACATGATTGGTAAGGATCTTCGATTGATGCTACATGGCGAAAGAACAGTTTGTGAAAAGGTCCCCTTTCCTCGAAAAGGGGGCGGAGTTTACACCGGCCCTGAACGTTGTCTGCGCCAGAACGTTGCGACTCCACCCGACCAACAACGACGCCGGAACGTTGAGTCCTCGTTCTTCCTCTTCTTCACGAAGTTCTCCTCAACATGCTGGATAGCTCAACAACCAAACAATTATAAGAGGATTTAGGAGGTTTGGTACAGCAAGGGGCTTAGGTACTTGACCAGGTCTTAATGAGGCACCTCCGGATACCTAGTCAGTATCTCCAATCCAGGAACCGTCCGTCAAAATAGGAGGAATCTTAAGAATATTTCAGGACCACGGAGATTGGGTGGTTTATGGACACCCCTTTTCCTATGTAGTGTCCATCCAATAACCGCCCCTTTCTGTGGTCTTGGTATAAAAAAATTTATATATATATATATATATGGGTGTTGTTCTAATTTCCTTTTAGCCCAAAAAATACATTAACCAAATTTTCGCATTCCTGCGTTTTATCTTTCGCCGAAGTATGTTGTATTTATGTGTGCCATGTATGTTGTGTGATGGATATCAAATTTGTTCACGTCAATGGCTTCTTCTCTACTGGCAAAAACAAAATAAAAACTTCACTGTTTGTCAGCATGTGTCTTCTACTTAACTGTTGTCACCCTGTACGCCTCTTTTGTTTCTCCTGGGTGTCAGCAAGAATCAAAATTGCAAGAATCACTGTAGTAGCCGGTCACTCAGACTTACTCATAATGGGCTGGGGGTCAGATGTGGCAGGGTGAACTTCCGCCAATCTTGAGCTGAACTTTCGCCAAACTTTCGCCTTTTGCGGGGTAGAGTTTTGTGGCAAAGCAACCACCCCAAAGCAGGAGCAGGAATAGCAGTAGTAGTAGTAGTAGTCGTGGTGGTGGTGGTGGTAGTCGTAGTAGTACTAGTAGAGTGGTAGTGGTAGTAGTAGTAGCAGCAGCAGCAGGAGTGTAGTAGTAGTAGTAGTAGCAGCTGCAGCAGAAGTAGGAGCAGTAGCAGCAGCAGGAGTGTAGGAGTAGTACTAGTACTAGTACTAGTAGTAGTAGTAGCAGCTGCAGCAGCAGTAGTAGCAGCAGCAGGAGTGTAGGAGTAGTACTAGTACTAGTACTAGTAGTAGTAGTAGCAGCTGCAGCAGCAGTAGGAGTAGTAGTAGTAGTAGCAGTAGTAGTAGTAGCAACAGCAGCAAAAAGAACATCTTTAGCCATATCTTTTGCCAAACAAAAAGTTACTTTTGCCAACTCGAGAAAACACTTTCGCCAAATGAGATTTTGATATGTTCCGGGTCATCGTCATCAACAATCCTGTCTAGGACCTTTAGATCGACAAATATATATACTTGGGACTTCGACATTGTTCATAACCAATTGGGACGAAACATGACAACACTATGAACTCTGCTGCCAAGAAACACTTGCACTTGCACATGCTTGCACCACAAGCCAACATGACGGAGATCCTAATTCAAATTGCCATCAAATCCCCTGATACGCCCTCAACATGTTTAATTGTCTACCGTCTCGAAGTCATGAAGGGTTGCCCACCCTAAGGGTCCAGGACCATCCTGAGGATGTCCTTTGGCCCCAAAGACCATTCTCTGGAAGTACTTTCACCTCTAAGACCATCCTCAGGAGGTACCTGGACCCTATGGGCCATGACTTAAAAACAGTGCCCCAAGAACCGAAGGCAGCCAAGCATCGTCACTCGCTTGCTTCGGATCAATGATGAACACCTGGAAGGCACGAACGTCCGTCGTTTTCGCAGGCGACACGTCGACACGTCAGACACAGTCAGCTGGCGCAGCCACATGGACGCACAAAGCACAACACATAGGATGCCTACGATCACCAAGAAGAGAATCATTCACTGACGACTTCTACATCGAGCCGTTTAAGACATGCTCAGCATCTCACATGGAGAAACTTTCTATTTAGGGCACTGTGGCTATACCCTGGAATTCCAACCACCATCGATGCAGTGGCTCTTGCCATTGATTGTTTTATACTAAGGGGTTGTACAATATGTACACTACAAAACCAGGTCCACCGTTTTTTTTATCATGCTCTTAGAAGCCTATGGATAAACTGAGCCACCCAAGACCAAAAAGGCGTGGGCATCTTGGAGGGATTGCTTGTGTTACGTCGGTCTTCGAGCTGGTGATGCCGTGTTGGCTCGTTTTTTGGGGGGTCATGACATCTAGAAGCCAATGGTGTGGGTGGAGTTCTGCTAGATGCTAAGCATCTAGAAGGTCTTGAGCCAGTTCTAACATCACCACCTGCTCTATTGTATGCATACACAGCCCCCAAAAAAGAGCAACCAGGCCTTCCAATTAAACACGAGTTATTCTGGCCACACGCTGTCAAAAATCACTCTCCGATCCTCTGGCCATTGTGGCTTGGATGGGTCTCAACAAAAGGGTTCCTCACTGAAGGATAGAAACAAATTCCCGACATCCATCTCAACTCGTTCATGATGTTCATGCTCACTCTTCACAGGGAGTTGGAATGGTTTGTGCGTCTCACAAGCTGCCGTAGTTTCAAGCTACAGCTCCAACCACAGAATGTTCCTTCAACCCCACCGACCGGACGTTTCACTCACCAGTCACCCAGCCAGCCCCTCGCATGACTGGCGGCCGGGTCCGGAAGCTTCTGCCGGTCGCGGATCACGAACCAACCGCCGGTGGGTGGGCCCTTGGTGTCGCGGCCATTCCACGCCAGACCAGGACCTGGGAGCGAGCCGAGCCGCCAGGTTCCGTGTCCGGTGACGGGTTCCAGTGGTCTTTGTCCGGTAGGTGGTCCACAGATGAGACCTATAGACTATAATATATATATAGACCCAAAGACGGAAGGTGGTCTATGAATATACGAGCGGTTTCAAGTGCAACTTATAGATCACAAACCCAATTCATGTACTTTCATCAGGGCCCTCTATAAGAACCCTCCCCTCTTGGGTTCTCTTCTGACCACGCACGAAAGCGAACAATCCACACACGGGCCGGGTGCCTGTGGGGGTGTTCTTGCTGATCCACCAGCCAGTGTTGATGCCTTTCCGATCCTCGCAAGAACGTCCGATCGCACTGGTCATGTCTCGCCGACGTCCGATCTCGAGTGGCAAAAACACAGCGTCTTTGGGGGAAACGGATCTTGTCCCAATGCTGCGTGGCATGTCAAGCTGATTATGCTGATTGGGATGGAAGGGTCTTGAGATGGCCTCCTACAAGGTGGAAACAACATCCACATAGATCCACATAGGTGCAGCAACTCAGCCTGCCTGCTTGTAGTGGATCACCATGACCTCAATGGTGATGTCGTCATCATCCAGCATGTGAGGCATCAAGAGCCTCTTCATCTCATTCGCGTCATGCTTGCCTTTCCCTGGCGCGCGCTTCGCGAACCGTACCTGGTGCGGTCGTACCTGGAGGGGCCCTTTTTGGGGCGCTCAACGCACCTTCTTGAGCCGTTTTTCACCCAGCAAACACCACATCCAGCGGCCCAAACAAAGGCGCCTTTGCCTTTGCCTTTGCGGTTTCGCACCTGGCCGGGGCGTGACATGGCGTGACCAAACGTGCTTAAGACAACAAACAACACATGTGTGATGCATCACACAGACACACACACACACACACTCTGACACTGCAACTTCGCCTTATTCCTTGGTGTTTTTTTCTGAAACATGACCCAGTTCCCAGTCCTTCGTCCTTCTCTGGGTAGCTCTCTCTTTAACTTACCTCCCGAACACCCAAAACACCGAACCCTTTCCACCTAAGCCCCCCGGAATCCCTTTGCACCGAGCCCGCTCCCGGGCGTACCGTTTGGGCCGCCCACCAGTGCCGGTGAACCGACCGGGTCGCGCCTCGGCTTTCTTTTCGAAGACCGGGCGTCCATGGGCCACGAGGTCGGAGGAACGCTCCTCAGCGACCGGTGCTCGGCCTCGTCTTCCCTTTGGCTTTTGTTTCAAGCTGGTGACTCGTGACTGTTGACCCCCCCAAAAAAGGCCACGAAAGGTCAAAGTTTAGATGGTCGGAGAAACCGCACAAACAGTGACTTGCACAGCTTTGCACACAGATCTGTTTGTGTGTGGCCTTTGGGCCCTCCGAACTCACCATGGTTACGTGGATGGGCTGGGCCCAGTTCGGAAGACCATGATATCCACTACAAACACGTGGTGAACTCCACTTCCATGTTAGTTCCGGGGAGCGTATATATCAACATTCTACATCCAAATGTATCCAAATTCTGGATACAATACAACATGGCATGCCTGCATCCCAGAAAATCCATGGGACGTTCCATGGGGCTCCCATCTTTCAATTCCACTTCCACAAAGGGCGCAAACTCGTTCGCCAGGTCATACATCGTCAAGGGCCCTGACTAAATCTCCATCACAACTCTATAGAGGTCAGGGGCAAATGGGGTCCAACATGCCCTGGGGCTCCAACCACCTCCTCAGAAAATCGTTAGACAGTTAGACCCTCCTAATCCACCCCAACCACCTTCTCAGGAGGCCAAGAGCCCATCCGGGATGAGTCATGGGCATCCCTCGTCCGTGTCTCGCCGTGACGGCCAACATCCTTATTTTCTCATCCCCCGACCAGGTTCGTACCTCTAGACACCACACAAAGGACTGGAAGAGTTACCTTCCTGTCATACCCCATTCCATACTTGATGTGGCTAACAACTACTGGGATAAGCTGTAGGGTTTGATTGCCCCGACCGCTTGTCCCAATATGTCCACTCTCAACAACAAGCATTTTGACCACATCCCTCGGACTAAACTGCACCGAGTGGCATACTTTCCATTGAGCTCAGGCCGGGCCTTGCAATCCTTCCAAGCCGCTGGTGGGCAAATGGGAAGCTGGGCTCTCAGAGGCTGGGAGGGGATGAAAGGAAGCTGACACTGAACAATTTGTGCATGCTGCTCAGAGCATTGTGGTTCACATTCTTGACCTTCAATAATCTCTCTCTCTCTCTCTCTCCCTCCCTCTCCATCGCCATCTGCATGACCTTCAATAATATGCTGCCTCATTTTGTTTTATCCATCCACTCCGTCAAACGACTAACTGACTTTCACCAACTTGCATTTCATTGGATGTCCTGTCTTTGCTATGATGTTCACAAAGCCACCCCCTTGACACTTCACAACCTCATGACTTCACACACACACACTGCTGCTTTGCCTGCGCGGATGTTCACTTGACCCACCCAGTCCTGTACGAGGATGACGCGTCGATCGGCGCCTCTCCGATCCTCCTCGTCATCAGTGATGATGCCTGAGCTTTCAACCGCTCACGCGGGAACTCGCGCAGCGTTTTCGCCGCACATGTAGGGGCAAATTTGGCGGATTCTGGTGTGCGCGTGGGTGGAATTCGATGTGATGGTTTGTTGTGGATGCTGGCAGTTTCGAGCAAATGGTGGCCATCATGGTGGCCTGGTGAAATTGCGTGCTGGCGGAGCCACATGGTATGACGTCCTGAATGGATGTCCGTCCCGGAACTGGACTGACACTGGTGCTTTCGATCATCTCACGAGAAGTCGGAAGCACATCCATACCCTACAAGTCAAGTTGATCTCATTTTACTGGAGATGGTCATATAACACCAATACTTAAGGAGGTACAAAAAAGAAACAAAACATGTTTTACGGGGTCTTTGGACTTGTAGGGTTAACTAAGAGAAATAACTCCCCCCATACAAATACATTACTAAAAACATGAAGTGATCTCCATACTAGTCTTTGGACCATCCATAACTCCCCCATACCAAAAAACAAACTCCGCATGGACGAAGAATTGGTGCTTACCAGCTGACTGTGGGGTGGTTCATGCACATCCCTTATATCACCTCTGTTCGGAGCTAGAATTGGACACCTGGCCTGGGGCCCCAGGTACTGGTGCTCAGGCCCAGGACAAGGTACTGGCCACCCGGAGAAAAAGAAAAACGTCACCCTATGGATCCACATACCTTCTTACAAGGTCTGACTGGGCCCAACCCTGGCGCCTACTTACATATATAAAATATATAACGTATTATATAGTCTCCAATCACCGAAGGTGGCAGTGGATCCACATGGTTTGGACACGTGGTGCCCTTGATCTTATGTCCCAACTCATGGGATTCGATCTTCCTCGGTCGGAAGAAGAGCTGTGCCACCACACAAACACGGCTGGATTGATCATCCACTATAGGGGTAAACCCACCAAGTATAGATGTTTAAAAAAGGCTGTGCTGATCCAGTTTTTTTGGGTTGCGGGCTTTGCTAGATTTGGTGAAGTGATCATCCACGTTGATCTTGATCTCTATTTTCCACGGCGGATATGGCTTTTTCTCGCATCCACTGCTCCCTCCCGTCCGCTTCTCGCGCCCGACTGCTCCGTCCAGGAGGCCGAGAGCATCCTCCAGGTCTTGCGCGACCATCCTGCGGCGACGGCGACGGCTCCGCGACCCATGGACCAATCACACATAGACGTCCCCCACAAAGGTCCCCATGGAACCTGAGAATTCACCGATAGAAGACCATTTTCCTCTATAACAACCCAGTGGTTTTGGGGTTCCATGTGGTCCTCTGCAGGGGGTGTGGCTCCCGGGCCAGCTGTGGGGTGCTTCATGGACATCCCTTATATAACCTCTGTCCGGAGCTGGTACTCCCCTTCAGCCGTTCTGGGGGCCTAGGTATATTTCTCCAGTTCTGGGGGTTTAACAAAAGAACAAAACCAATGCACCTGATCCGCAGAGCCAGGAAGAGGTCTGGGATCAGGACCTGAGAGGACGTGGCAGGGAGAAGTCTTCCGATGGATTCCTTGATATTTGCGGCTTTTGAAGACTGCAACCGCCGTTCTTTTTCATGGTCGGGGATCTTCAACCATGAAGCTTCTTTGAGCAATGGTGAGGGTTCACGTCTTCTTTGGCACTCTTGGATGACTGTGGGTGGCCACTGGCCCGTGAAGGACTGTCAAGTGAGCTAAAGCCCGATCCACCCCAGCGCACCTCTTCTCATCCTCATCGTAGTCGTACCTGACTATACTTATTGCAGTTGAGCATCAGTTTGATGATCAGCCCACAAAATCCAACACAAGACTTGTCGGCTCTAAGACTTGTCGGCCATCCTCGAGAGAATGAGGCTTGACTTTGGCAGGGGCCTGATACATGGCGCACCCTCTCCACCAAAAGACCGCACATGGTCCAAGAGCAACAACGTAGCCAAAGGGATTGGACACAGCATGCAGAAATCCATTTCCAGGATCCTTGGCACAAAACCCCATGTGCTCCTGCCTTCTATATTTTACGAGTACCTACAATTGTATACAAGTACTATAGACCTTCCAATCAAAGCACTGGCCTTTATACATGAAAAAAAAAACACATAAAATTGCATAATTTGTGCATATAGTTGGCACAGCTGAACAGCTAGGTATTTATATACTCCCCGGGCCTACGGGGAGGGGGGCCGTAGTGACCCCCGCTGGCTCCCACCCGAAGCGTCGGTCGAAAACGGAGGGTGGGACGTCCTCATCCTATCCAAGTGCGATCGAGGCTCGGTAGCGGTCGCAAGGACCTCTGATCCCTGGGGCAGCCCATATTAAGCCACGTTCGCAGGATCTGCCTCAGCACAGGTGCGAACGATTCCTCGCCATCGCCGAAAACTCCCTGATTGACTCAACTAGGGGAGGAGAGGCTGACATCACCTGATTAGTCACGCAAATGTATGCAAATCCCTAATGTAGTCTCTTGATTAATATAGACCCACCCAGTCCTCAAGAGTCTACATTCCCCCCCCAAAACGTCGTCGTTGACCTCCCCCCACCTTCGCCTCTTCGCGACGTGGGTTAAGCGACGTGAAGGCAGGGCACACGGGGAAGTTCCGCTGCACCAGGACGCCGAGGCCCCGAAGGAAGTGCTCCACGGGGATCATGGCGTTCGGCGCCTGGGAGAATGCGACCCGTCCGGGCGCCCGGCGGGTCGAGGCGAAGTGTTGGTGGTGAAGTGAGAAATGGTTGTTGAGCATGGGTGAAGAACACACTTGGATTAGCTTGAACTTTTTGTTGGCCCCAATGGCCTTGGATCTGGGATATCAAACAAGTCGCTTTGAAGAAACAGCGGGTGACTTTCTTTAAACGTGGTTGAGCTCCTGATCAAGAATCGATATGAACCCTGTCTGGACATGGGATTTGACGCAAAGATCTTGAGGAAATCGGGAGGAAACTAGACTCAACACACAAATTAGTTATACTTGTTCATCTTAATTAATGTGCGGGAAAATCTTGCCCCAGTCATGGAACCAACAAGCCCCAGCTGGATGCTGATAGCCGGAGTGTTATTGTTCCTTTTTATGCTCCACCGGAAACCGGTAGATGACATCAGAATCAGTCAAAGCATGTCAAAGCAAAGAACCATAAGTAAAACATAGTAAAACACTTGGAGAGGCCTGCATGTTAGTAGGTTTGTAAGTGTTGCAAGTGTGTTCACACATTGAACATCAATACGTATATACACGTTGTTAGTGGATTGATAGTAGATGGCGCAATCCCCCTATCTATAGGTGGTCTATATGGACCTCCATCTTAGAAAAGACATCTTAGCGGAAACGTGCCATCGAACCTCTGACCGCACTGTATTCTGATGCCCGTTTCTGGCGTCCAAACATGTCGGACTCCAAAACCCCCATGATGCAGACGCTTTTTGGGGCGGCCCGTTTATCATTTAACGGGACGCTCCTCTTGTCTCGTGCCGTTCCCGACATGTCTATAGGGCCCCCCAGGCGATCTGAAGCAATTTGATGGTCATGCAAATTTGAACCTCGGAGAGCTTGGAGTGGGAAGCGCACGAGCGCACGCGCGAGCGCACGCAGGAGGGTAGCAGGAATCGATGGGCTGGGGGAAGTGGCCGACTGGCAACCAACCTCCTGATGATGTAGCCATAGCTAAGAAGGGAACAGTCCAAAGGTTTGCGCCAACTTGTTCTTTGAGGGTTTTCTAACTCACTGTCATGCCAGGAGACAATGCCAGGCCTTTGCATGCATTGCGCCAACATGCGGCCCATCTGGTCCTGACACGCCAAGTCTCTGGAGAGGAAGACCTACCCCTGGATCCAATAAACGTATAAAAGCATCCAAATGAAACACACCACCACATACTATCCCCTCTTCAGCAATGATGGAAGTGGACGCCCTGGCCCCTGGAAAGACCCTTAAGAATGTTCCAAATACCACACATAACAGGGGCTGAACTCCACTGGTCCATGTTTGCAGGGAGGGTCGTCATTAGGGGTAACTACTGCGTCGTCAACTCTTGAAGCCTCTGATCGTCACCCTTTGTTGGCCAGTTCTGCCCCTTGTTGATGTTTCTCGCCTTTAGCTCGACAGTTCCGCCCCAGGTCTCGGCGGTTTTTGAGGGCTGTTTTGGAAGGCTCCTGCTTGATCTCGAAGCCCATCTCTAAGATCATCAGGGCCTAAGATCTCAGAGGTAAGAAAAAAGAGCAAATGGCACAATCCCCAACTTGGGTCTTTGAAGTTGGAGACCCATCTAGAAAACATCACTCACTAGGCCGCCCCTAGTGTCATCGAACCGTTCAAATCATAGGACCGGGCCGCCGGGTCAAAAGGCCTATGACGACCCACCGGTGGGGACCTGTCACGAAACGAAGATTAACCTCGCAGCACCCACGGAGCTGCAAAATGGCAGTCGAAATGTCCGGTCCCCAAGGAATGTCAAAAACACCTCGATGCTGCGTGAAAGATCTTATGTCATTTTATACCATGCTATAACATACATATCAAATATACAGTTGTGTTGTGCAATGTTGTGCGTGGCGTGTGTACTGCTTTATAACCAACCATGCCTCCATACTCCAATACTCCGCCAGGGATGCTTCATCAATCTTCCAAAGTGGCCCCGCTACTGGAGCCACCGAAGGTGTTAGAAACAACATTGGAGCTCAGTCGCGACAGCTCTTGCGGGCAGATGCTTTACACTCTGAATAACGTTCCATGGAAGTGGATTTCCCGGTCGCGTGGAAACGCCACTCCCTGAAATCAATCATGGAAGTGGCAAACCACCGGTTTGGAGAGGAAAATGGTCATCCTTTCCGGGGCCACGTTCCACTTGCATGATAATTCGTCTACAAATGTCTCCAGGGAGTACACGTTCCTTTACAACGCCAGGGGGATCACCCACGTGTTCGTTGGAGTGGAGCGGATCGTCCTGTTCCAGTCTCCAGGTCTCACTTCCGCCGTCCGGCTTCCCATTCGCAGCCGAAGGTTCCGTTTTTGGCGTCGTCCCCAATGCCCAGACATGTGCAAAGTGGACATGGATTTACCTGGACCCTCCAAAGTACCTTAAGGGACATGATCCCGTAAAAAAAAAAGGTACGACTATACCCATTTTCCGAGGTACGAACTGAGGCTCCAGGTATATTCCCAAAATACTAGGCTTTGCCTAGTTGTGCTCTTTGTGTTTCCTCTTTTTTGGGTGATCCACTGAGGCATCGGTGTCCTGCTTCCCGTTCGCCCACCAAGGCACCGTCCGGATACAAGAGGTTCCTTAGCGGAACAAGCAAAGCAGGTTCCGCAGCGGGGGCTTCAGGTTCGGAAGTTTTCGCGTGAGAACCGATCCCAAAGGGATTCGGATGAACATGATCTCTTTGAGAGATTGGTTTGTCGATATTGACATCCCGTAGTTCTTTTGGATTCTCGGATGTTCTTTGAAGCTTTCATCCTTTCACTGGCCCCCAAAGCCTCCAATAAACTGACTCTGGCCATTCTTGAGACCTTAGGGGAAGCAGTCTTAGGGGAAGCAGTCGGCTAGCTTTTGAAGACTCTCAATTAAGAAAAAGTCGGAGACCAATATGCAGACCCACTGGAAGGTGGAGGAAGCAAGCGCTGAACATGCATTGCTTCCAGGATCCCCTCTTGGAGGCCCCTGTCCGAGTGTCCAATCCAAAAAGAACCATCCACACCTGGTGGGATTCAAATCATCCTACTTGACTGCGACACAGGGCATGTCAGTTTCAAGCCACCATTCACCATTTCTAAGAACATGGATTCCGTAAGTTTATATACAGGCACGTAGAGCTGCATAAACTGAACTCAACATGTTGACATGCATCGTCTATGATGATCAAGGAACTCGGGCAACCTGATGTCAAGAAGTGTAGTCACCGTCAAATTCGGACATGCATGCTCTGTAAATGGATGCCTTCTTCTGAAAAGGTGCATTTAGAGAGTGCTTCAGTGCCTCCAAAGGTGGACAAATCCACTTCTACAGCGACCCAAAGCTCTGTCCGGCGACCCCCCCCCGAAAGGTTCACACCATGTGCTTTACTTATAACTCCCAAACACTCCATGGGACCCCTGAAACCTCCCCAATGTAAGCATATATGGCAGTCCCATGGGTCGTGTCTGGGACTTATAACATCAACGCCGCTCTCTGCGAACGCGTTCACCACCCGCGGCACACCGTGTGCCCGTTCAGGTCATGGAGCGATAGCCCGTGTTCAGGCGCTTCTCCAGTTTTCGCTCCAGAGATCGCAGGTCATCCTTTTCGGCACCGGTTAGGTCCTTCCGCTGCCTCTCCTTTTTGCCTGGTCGTGACAAGGTGTCGGTACGACTCGGTGTCTTCGAGTTGTGACGGCCGAGAGGACGAGTGCAGCTCTTTCTGCCCAGAAGATCTAGCAGCCAGTACATACTGTAGCCAGTATAGCTCTCCCACACTGTATCAGCACATCTGGCCCATTTCAACCCTGACCAAAGAAACGTGAAGAATGGACTCTGGGAACACAAATTGGCCCTCCAGGAACGGATCGAGCATCCACACACTTAGCATTTTCCGTACTCTGCAGGTGACGCCGAGTGTTGTTCTGAACAGCTCTGTGCCCTGGAAAACGCTCCGTCCACATGTACGAAGTTGAGCTTCTGAAAGGGTGTTCTCCCAAAAGACCTATCCCAGACACGACCCATGGGACTGCCATATATGCCGATCAGTTGGGGAGGTGCCAGGGGGGGTCAATGTAGGCATATATGGTAGTCCCATCGGGTGTCTGGGTATGTTTGCAGACGGCCGCCAGCTACATTCTTAGTGACATTCCACGCCTTTTTTAATGCTCTGAACTGTTTGAACTATGCAATTGCTGGGAAAGGTGCTGCTTTTCCGCAAGGCACTTTTTTTCTCAGAGTCCAACCAATTAAGCACAAGCAAACACAACGTGATCAAACATGGCCTTGATGGTTTGGAATTCTACACCCAATCATCGTTCCCTTTCTAAAGGCTTCTCAAAACATGATGACGCCTAATTCACCTCGCGCATCCTCCACTGACGTCGTCCCTTTTTCCTTCACCACAACCAGCGCGGCTCGCCCCATCTCCCTGGTCACTTCGACGACCGTCACGGTCTGTTCCCGCTCGCTCAGTCGTTGAGGACGTCGTCGTCGGTGAAGTCGAGCTCCTCCTCCAAGGCCTCCTCCGCTCCAGTGAGGCCCGCGTCTTGGGACATCCTCGGCGCCGCGGTGGGTGAACAGCGAACAGCGGCGGTCGCGGTTTCGGAGCGAACAAAGCGGGGGGGAACGCTTTCGTGCGATCAGGAAGGCAAGGTCTCAACTGTTGGAAGAAAGCGGCGGGTGTTGGTGTTTTTGGGATACTCTGAGTCTGATCAGCTATAGTTATATATAGCACTACCCTATGGACTATAGTTTTTGGCAGGGACTGTCCGCAAGTCGTGCTATATATGGCACTACTGTAAACATGGAGGTTGTGAACAACCTGTGCGGTTCTCTCGTGTTCCCTGTGTGGAGGCCTCTTCAACATGAACACTCAACCCATGGGGGGCTGCTATGTCTCCCGGGCAGTGGCAGTGTGATCCGGGCCGTGCAGAACGACCAAAGTAAACCCTTAAAGACTGGTAAAGGAGACCAGGAAGTGAGACGATCTGGCCGAAGTGAGACGCCCAAGGACCACCAGGCATTGGAAGGCTATATGCTATAAGACATAAACAAAAACCCATTAGGCCAGAGTTAGAAAAGAACGCACACCAAACTGAGCAAATAGAACTAGTGTCAACGAAGCGTAAGCATTTCATATGTTCTATATAGTTTTGATACATTTTGACCTATCCTCCAAAACAGTATCCCTATGGATCCACATGCCTTCTGAGAAGGTGATTACTTGCCCGGTCGAAGGTAAATAGTCAAGGCTAACCTCTAATAGTACTTACAAGACTTAACTTATAAGTAGATTTAGCGGACTTAGCTTTGAGTTAGCTAAGTCGACTTAACTTGGACTTAGCTTGGACTTAGCTTTGACTTAGCTTTTCAGATTCTGAAAACTCAGAATCTGAATTTACTAGACTCTGAAAATTCAGGTTCTGAATGTTAGTATTGTAAGTTCAGCTTGTGGATATGTGTCTAAACATGTCTAAACAAATTATTTCAGAATCTGAATTTTATGCATGCTTAATGATGTGTGTATTCCTTAAATGTATCTATGTATGTCCAAATGGAATAAATGGAATAATCTTAATACCCAACACATTGAAGTACATGTATGTGTCAGAAGCATAACTATTTGCTCTCACCATTTTTCTTTGTGAGTCGCGGTCAGTGAAACAGCCATCTATGACCCCTCGCCAGACCAATCATACCCGGGCGCATTCCAAGAGAAGACCAAAAGTTTCCTCCGGCATCATGCTTTTCTGTTTGTTTTTTCTGCATTCTCCAAAGGATTAATCTTGCCGTCATCCTTCTCCAAAAAAACTCTGCCATAATAAAGACTCTGAATAAAGAAATAAAAGCATTCAGAATCTGAAAAATCCGAATCATGCGTGTTAGCCATTGTTCAACCAAAGTATGCATGTGCAAGATGTACAACCTTCCCGGCAGTCATCCACTTCACAAAAGATTGTTCACTTGTCGCCACTTCTTCAGTTCCAAGAAGTGAAACTCTGCCTGCCTGAACTACCTCTGTCCACCGAAAGAGACGCCATCCTCTGAAATTCGACCCAAAACGCCAAGGGCCCCTGCCGCAGCAGAACTCCCTGCAACACCACAGTTTCACAACTGCTTCACGGCTGTGGATCCGTGACCGGAATTTTTTTGGTTCCAGCAGGAAGCTGATCATGGAAGTGACTATCCAGGTGTGGAGGAGCCAAAAACCACCAAAAAAAAAACAATAAACCAATCTATCTACACCCCAAACCCTTGTGTGAGAACAACCTCATGGTAGCGGAACCTCGCACAGTTTTCACTCATCTTGAGCCAACGTAGTCGGTCGAATCATCTTGATTCAACTGCTCTTCGGTTTTCCTGAATTCTTCGAATTCAAATTTGGATCACATCTCGTGAAAACTAGAAAAATTAGGCGTCCACAGTTCGCAACTCAGACTCAAAATTCGGAGGTCAAATTTAGTTCACTCAATTCTTCTTTCATTCATTTGGCTCCTCAACTGCACGCAACCACAAACACAACGCAAGTCAAAACTCCGTCTCGGAGTGCTCAACCAAGCACAAACATACACAGACAAATGGCGTGCGGTCTGAACCGCCAAGCAAAACACAAAGTACCTCGTCTCGAGGTGACCGGTCATCAAGCATGCACAAAACTCCTGTCGTCAACTGTCAGCACCAGTACGGTGATCTCAGACTAGCAGAGGCTGGAAAATCTCGTTCCCAACTCCTAAGGTCGTGCTCAACCACTGTTCTCACCAAAGTCTGTTCCTACAGGGAGAGGTGGTAGACTTACATACGAGGAAGGTCCTAAGCTCCCCAACCCCAGAGGTGTGTGTGTGTGTTGTGCTGTACTGTCCACACCTACAGTTCACGTATTAGCACTTCGTCCTCCAGACAGAAATGAAAGGCGTGCTTCTCCTGAAGCACAACTGGTGTGCTTGTTCCTCACCATCTGGTAGGAAACACAAAGTGGCCTGCTCCCAACTGACGTCGTCGCGAATGAACCGGGAACAGAACATGTACTAGTTTGGATGTGGTGATCTCCAACCAAAATGTACAGTAGAAATGCGTGCATACAACGTGCAAGGTGAAAACTACCGTGGTGTCACACTCAGACACAGCCTTGGAAATTCCTGGCGCGCTAGGGCGTGTCAAGGCGGTTGATGACAACAGTTCACGCTACTCTGTTGAGGTGTTTTCGCAAACAGAACCAGAACTCACTAGCTCAGTGTTACCGGCGTCTTCACGTGTGAGTGTTTCTGTTTATCGTTATGTTTCTATCGTGCTAGCAGGGAATTCGGTTGAATTCACAAATCTGCCCACACATCTCAAGAACCTATAGTGATCTCTCGTGCTTGCACCTTCTTTAGCATTTCCTGCTTCCCTTCTATTAGTTCAACACATGTCCAACGAGACTCTTGGTGCCAGACACATGGTGTCGCGAAGTCAGCGCAGTGTTTGTCGTCGGATGTCTCTGTGTGTGTTCTTCGTGTGTGTGTTCATGTAATCAACTTGGAGCACAAAGAACAGCATTGTGTCGTTTCCGTCTGGCAACAGTCTGTCTGTCGTATTGGGCTCATATTATGTATTCCAAGTGTCAACAGAAAGTCAACCAAAATCTTCACATATAAATTCCAAATTATTTGAAAATGAATCGAAACAGCATTCAAATTGAAACTGTCAAAGGTGAGGATTTCATAGAAAATCAACCCTTCAGGAAGGAGAGGAAAGGAAACACTTCGAGGACAGATGGGAGGAGAAGAGAACATCAAGACAGGCCAACGCACTCTTGGTTTCACCCTTTTCACACCCCTTTCCGTTGGGCGTCAGTCGTCTTTGTCAGAAGGGCTTTCCTCCTGAACCAAAAGGTTGCCATGTAGGCGGTTCGCGAACTCATATCCTCCGTTCACGAACAGGTCATTTGTCCCTTTTCTCAAATCGCTCCAGTGCGAGACACTTCGCAGCATTGCATGCAGGCACGAACAAGCCTTGAAGGGCAGTCGTAGTCAGCCTGCTGGCAGCTTTGATCTTTATGGATTTTGTTGCCTCGAGCTGCAAATAGATGAAGCTCCGGAAACCTGGCATCTGAAGTCGAACAATGTCCACACATTGTCAGCGGCTCCTGTGGCTTTCCTTTCATGCAAGCACACGAAGCCTTGTGAAAGGCCTGGCCCGACTGGGTGAGATAGTAAAGCGGTCTTGCCCGCTGCTTCGGCACCGGTCGAACAGCTTCTGGCGATGGTGAAGGCGTCTTCGGTGAATCTCGTAGCCAACCGACCAGTCCAACTGCCATACCCAGTGCTTGTGACCTCAACCAGTCTGCCTCATACTGTGTGCGGTCGTTCTCGCTCAAGCCTGGCGGGAAATCATCCAGTAGAAGCTGAGCTCCTTCCACCTCCATTGCCAGGTGACTCATAGTCAGGAGACACATAGTCTGGAGCCACATAGTCCTCTGGCGACTCTGCCTCACTTCGTGTGTTGCGACCACTTCCTTTGCCGCGGGCTCCACCTCTCTCGCGAGGTGAATTGGAACGCTGTCTTGATCGGCTTCGGCTGCGACCTCCGTTGCCAGCGCAGCAAATGATGCTTGTGATCGCCACAAGCCATAGCCATTGAAAGGCAAACATGATGGCGAGCACCAAAAGGACGTCCATCGAAGGGCTGGAGCTCGGGCAGAAGGTTTCAACCGAAACCCCTTTCTAAATCGAACTCTCTCGGACCCCTTTCTGATTCAAAATTCCAATTCC